ACGACTAAGATAGGCACGCATTTTAAAGCAATTCTCTAATTGCATTGTTAAAATCAAAGAGAATAGAAAAGGTATCAACATTAAATAGTGCTGGAAATAATAGTACTGGAAATAAGGGCATTGTTTTTTTTATATTTCAATGACTGTATTGTCTGGATTTTGTATGCATCTTTATTTACATTTAGTTTTGAAGGAGGGACAAATTGCAGAATGCTCAAAATTTAAATTATTTGAAGGAATGAGGCCGATATTAAAGGAAATCGAATCTGTTTTGCATTCTTGTGGTGTACAACGACAAGCTTATCACAGTTGCTCGTTGGTTGGAAATCATTCTCACAAAATGTTAAAGGTACATGTTTTTTGTATAAATCTTTATTTTTAGGCCTTAAAATATTTTTTATTTCTATATATTATGTAGGTTTTTGCCATCTCTGCATTAAATATTTTAATTATCATTCCCAGTTAATATTTTTGATCTACTATAATACCTATATATAATAGTATAGCATTATTTATTTTATTTTTCAGGTTAATAACATAAAAAAGTTATGTGACTCAATTCCCCAAACGGTTTTTAATAACATAACAAATCAAGAACATCCAATTTATATGGAAGCGGTTGACATACAGCAAAAATTTAAAATTTTATTTCACAAATATTTAAAATGAATTGATAAAAAAAAATACTAAACGAACAAAATATAAAGAGTTTCAGTAATTTTTTCATTATTAATTGTATGACATAGGTAGTTTTTAATTGCAAAAGTATCTTTTAAGGAGTATTATTATCTTTAACAAATACCGATGAAGACATTTTGTCATATATATAAAATATAGAGTATTATTATATTATGTTTTTTTTTTTAATACTTGTTAGTATGTTTTGTAAAAACAACTGTAGTTTTTGTGGCGAACTAATGAAGTTTTTTAGTAGTACTTGGCCACATGAATCAATAACTCCAAAAATGCATATGCTAAAAAATCACATAGAAGTTTTTTTGAACACATGGGGAGTTGGCCTTGGATTATATGGGGAGCAAGGTGGCAAGAGTATCCATGAAGAACTCAATAATATTGGAAGAATATACTCAAGCATGTCTAGTACGCGAAAACTAGAATGTATAATGAGAAATCATTTTAAAACAAACAACTTAATTGCAAATTCATTAAAACCACCCATCATGCCTCGAAGAAAAAAAAATTATAGTTTATATATAATAAAGTAATAATCCATCATAAAATTATATTGTTTAAATTGTTTGTATATTTAATATGTTTGTATAAGGTAAGTTCTCAAGGTAACTTACTTAAAGATGCCAAAATAATTCCGAAATAATTGGTTTACGAATAGTAGAAAATTAGCAAAGTATTACCCAACTTTTAATCTTCAAATCTTCGTGTAAAAAAATGGCTGGTAATAATACTATGCTGAATAATATAGCTCAACTTTTATTCTTTCCAATGATATATAACATTTCCTTTAAAAAATTGATCTTCGTAAGTTTTATTGAAGAATAAGACTGATAGTAAAATCTGCGTTAAAATCTCGACTAACTTGACTGGTGAGTTAAAACTTCTTGTGTGATTTTTTTTTTTTTTTTTGATTTTTTCTACTTAATAAACTTTTAGTTAATAAAAATAATGTTTTTTAACGAGTTTTATTTTATTCGTATTGTGTATAGAAAAGATTTAAAATACCTTCAAATGCTCCGTTTTTGAGGCAAGTAAAGTAACAGTCTTAGCTGCAGATTTTAAATTATACGTTATGCGCTTGCGCGCTATATATGTCAATTGCAAAACGAACGTGAGCCTTAAGGGTCGTCTTTTATTTTGTCACGCAATTTTCGACCATTTTTTACCCCCTCTCTCCTCCCTCGTCACAACCTTCTAACTCTTTCGGAGCAAGTTTCCGTATAAGCCGTCTTAAAACCACAAACCCCTCCCCCTCCCTAAAACGTGACGTAATTTATTAACAACTTCTAAGCTATATAACGCTGATCTAAAAAAGAAGCCAAAATTTTTTTTGAAAAAAATTTTGGCTTCTTTTTTAGATCAGCGTTATATAGCTTAGAAGTTGTTAATAAATTACGTCACGTTTTAGGGAGGGGGAGGGGTTTGTGGTTTATATATATATAATATATATATATATATATATATATATATTATATATATATATATATATATATATATATATATATATATATATATATATATATATATATATATATATATATATATATATATATATATTTAACCCTTTGAATTAAACTGTTAAAGGTCGGCAAAAAAAAATTTCTCACTAAGGGTTACCATAAAACATTAAAATGTAACTAGCAATTTTTTCCCGACCTTAAACACTTTTAGGTCTGCATTGCCGAATGCCGACCTCAATTCCGAGGACTTGAACACAGAATGTGAGAAAACATCTAAGACAATCTGATCAGCCCTATAAAATACAAAAAGAGAAAATGTTCCATACAATTATGTAACCAAAAAGAAAGACTGTTAAATTCTTGTAAATTTAAATGCACACAAAATATCAATAACGAAAAATGAACGCGTATATTTGTTGATCTTTGGTCTATGGACTACATGCAAAAAAAACATTTCTACAGTCGAACCACTAAACGACTTCAGGAAAAACGTCATCGAATCATCAAAGAAATAGTAATTTGTCTATCGCTTTAACTACATCGTATTCTAATAACTATTAAATTGTAAACTAGAATTCCCTGGTTTAAAACATTTGCTAAATTACTCTGATGTTTGGGTAACATATGTTAGCCATATATCAGAGTAGTTTAGCAAATGTTAGTATACAAGAGGTTGACAATATCCATAGTCAAATTGATAGAGCACTTGCTCCTGTTAAAATATTTAGTTCCCTGGGATTCAGGGCCTTCGAGGGCGTCTATGGCGCTCGGGTCAAAAATGAAGAACGGCACCCCAAATTCAAACCAAGAAATTACAAAATTTAAAGTATTGTGAACACAACAATTACTTATTTATGATACAACACATTGTTTTTCTGCGTTGCTATTAACTCCCTGGATTGAGAAAAACAATTCATTACTCAAAACTGATATTTGAATCAAAATATTAGTTTTGAAATCAATAAATAAAGTCAATCAACAAATTCTTAAAGAAAAGTAAATAAGACGCTTAAAAATAAGTTTTTTGAGCTTTTCCGGCCGCCCCAACATCGATAACATCGTCGTAGCTCACCTTTTTAGTCAAATCTTCTTAAATCGAAATAATCAAAAGATCAGAAATTCAATCCTGGCTTTTAGTCAAACGGAGACAATTATCAGTTTACTATTTTAGACCAGTTTTTAGATGCATATTAGATGCATTTTAGATATCTTTTTGTTTGCTGGGACTTGTTTGATACAAAGGTGTTTTAGCGGTTAAATTAGTCATAAAAAATGATTAAATTAAATAAGTAAAAAAACATTTTAACTAAAATTACTTAATTTTATTTCACAAAAATATACATAAGAAACTATATTTCTGCATTGCCGTCAACATCTTCAACATCTTCTTCCACGTCGCCGATATCTAAAATATATACATTAATGACATTTAAATGACTTTAAAAGACATGTAGAATTCTGAATAATCTATTTTTATGAAATATTATATATATATATATATATATATATATATATATATATATATATATATATATATATATATATATATATATATATATAGATATATAGATATATATAGATATATATAGATATATATAGATATATATAGATATATATAGATATATATATACACATATGTATATATATATATACACATATGTATATATATATACACATATGTATATATATACACATATATACATGTGTATATATATATATATATATATATATATATATATATATATATATATATATATATATATATATATATATATATATATATATATATATATATATATATATATATAAGAAGATTTGTATCTCAACCAGATACAATAATAAACAACAATTGTTTTATGAAAAAACTAAAGGAACTTGTATTATGGATACAAAAATTCTAGCATGACACAAAAAAGTCAAAGAATATCTTTTTAATACAGATATCAGTTTTGTAAATACTACTAAAACTATACCTTGTAAAACACTCCATATATTTACAAGATTTTCTAAGCTTATCTTTTCCCTATTTTCTTTTTGATTTAATTTGGACTGTAACTGATTCGAAAATAACCTAATAAATATTTTCACAATAAACTGAAATATATTTATAAAGATTTTTATTTTAATATATGTAATAAATTAAAATATATTTTAATATATGAATGCTTAAAATTATGAAAGGTATAACCATTAAATTTGAAAATAAAATGCTAAACCTTGTTTAGCATTACACTTACTTTAGCGCACAAACAAACTTAAACACCTACAGTGAAGCTGCCAAGTTTATCAAATTTTCATGTTAAAAGTAAATCCATAACAAATAATGGTCAAAATGAATTTCTTTTGGTCCCTTTTAATCATATTTCTAATAATTAATAAAAACATAATCATTTACCTTTTCATGATCAAAAAAACATGTTCTCATGGCTTTCCGCCACCAATCGTTTTCAAACTATCAAGCTGAAATAAATGTAATAAAAATTAGTGTAACTTAAATTTCTTTACAAAATATTGAGTCTAACACAAGCTAGTTATTTTAGTTCATTTACAAATACTTTTCATTTAGATTCTAAACTAATAAACCAAATTTAAACAAACTTATTAAAAATTAAGGTAATTAGATTATACCAAATTAGTATACTTGGTTTTATCTTTTAGTTTATTATCCAGTGTAACCACTTCGTCCACTGATTCTAGCAACTTCACCCCAGTAGCCTGAAACTTAATTTCTATAACTTCTTTTAAAAGAACTTTTATTTCTGCAAGCTCCTTAAGAATATCATTTCGCATCAATATAAACAAGAATAAAATGATTGATTAACATATTTAGCTCATAAAACCAAATAGCAAAACAATGAAATAACAACTTTAAAAAATAATCCACTCAAGTTATAGGTAAACCCGCTGAAAATAAATTAAACAATTAAGTTTTACAAAAATTCCTATTTAATTTTGACAAGTAAACAACAACTAATATTCAGATTTATGTCAAACCGTTACTGATAACCAGGGGTGTGGAGTTGTAAAAAAAAGATTCGACTCCGACTCCAGTTATTAAAACTTTTTGAGTACAACTCCAACTCCGACTCCAGTTGTTGAAATTTTTTGAGCACAACTCCGACTCTAACTCCAACTTCGATTACAACTCCAAAGCAATATTTTTGAAAATTTTTTCAAATTCTTTAAAAAATATTACGGGATAAGTTAAAAATTTCTTTTTTGACAAATTTATGAAACGTTCTTTGAGGTTTAGTATGAACATAAGGTTAATTGAATGTTTTGTACATGCACGCACAATACCGAGAAGTTTTACTATTGGAGTTGGAGTTGCGATTTTGTTTAGCGACTCCGACTCCGCTGAAAATATCTCAACTCCGCAACTCGGACTCCACAGCCCTGGTGATAACTTTCATGTATTTTTCTTTGGGCTTGGCTCAAGAGCAATTCTTGATATTTCCTCCTGTAAAAGGTTACGATATTAAAGAATTTTGTTTAACTACTAAAGGTAAAGTTGACCAAATGCTACACACATGATTTATCGGATCACAATATTATAAATAATCCATTTCTATTCTTTTATACCTATCTTTTACAATTATTTTAAAACTAAAACAAATTAATAAAAAAGACCTCCACATTAGCATTCAGTGGTGTAAAAACCAAAAGTACTCACATTAAAACTTGAAACTCTTTGACAATGTGAACTTGCTTGGTTTTAATGTGTTCATCAATAAAATGTGAAGAAAAAACATCTTCTTCAATCTGATAACAACTCTATTCATAAGAAATAATTATAATTAGAACTATAAATAATCCCTCAACCATACCTTTTACTTAATTTAATCTTTCAACCAATTTTGTACTCTTTCAATTTCTGAATTCAAATAATTTCAGCATGCTTTCAATCAATTTTCAATTTTCATATCAAGTTGATTAAAGGATTATTTAATACAATAGAATGTTGTCAATAATATAAATATATGTAACCAATTTAACAACATTACATATAATAGGACACCCAAATAGTTAAAATAAAAGGAAAATCTTCAAATTAAACAAGAATTTATTTCAGCTTATAAACCATTAAAAAAAAATTATGATATTTGTGTTATACTTTTAGCATTGGGCTTATTTATAATAGGTGGCGGAAGTTCTGGCAATGAAGAGCGGCATGATTTGTTATTCTTTTTTTTAATGCTTTCTTTAACATATATCTCATCTGATGTAGAAAGTTGTATTCTTCACAACATGAAAATGAATCTTATTATAAAACATTTTGCTACAAAAAAGTAATTAAGTTACTTTTAAAAAAAACACAAAACAAGTTAGATACTGACCATCTGTTATCTTACACTTTATCAATGGAAACTTGTGCCATTCTTTTGTTGATGAAAGGTTGTTTTTCAGTGCATGATTATAGTTTTTTTTGGGACAATAAATTTGTTGCTATTCTTTGTCAATCCACTTGTATAGTGCAACATTACTTGGTTAGAAAATCATGCAGAAAAACTTTCCTTTAAAGTTGGGTTATGCATATACTCATTAAACTTTTGGTCATAAGAGTATTCATTGTACAAAATCAATGACTCATGATGGTCAAAATATTCTTTTAGATCTTCGCAAGATAAGAAACCATTTCTTTTAGAAGTTCCAACATTCGATTTTTTTCTATATGTACTGATGAAAATTCTAGTATTTTTTAATATTCCTTTTGGACACGTCTACTGCGTCTCTTTTCGTATGCCCTTTTTGTAAAAGACATAAATGAATCTTGGTTCCTCGATAAAAACGATAAGTGCACCACAACCAATAAAACAATCTTTTGTGTTATTGAAAAACACTCATATATATATATATATATATATATATATATATATATATATATATATATATATATATATATATATATATATATATATATATATATATATATATATATATATATATATATATATATATATATATATATATATGTATGTATATATATATATACATATATATATACATATATATATATATATATATATATATATATATATATATATAATATATATATATATATATATATATATATATATATATATATATATATATACATATATTTTAATTACATTATCTTTTATTCTAGAAATAAAAATATCAACTTGAAAATATTAATTTTATAATATTTCTGCAAAATAAATTTCGAATCACAAAGATTTTAGCAAACATGCTAAGCATCAAATCATCGAAATATTTTGTGAACTATAATAGCATGTTATTTTATTATTTAAAATTTATCAAAAGAAATAATCATTAATGTCTTCTATAGGTTAAAATCTTCATGTTTTTTTTGAAATAAGTTTCCGCATGGTTTTTGAATGGCGGTCATTTATAATTATCGCTCCGTAAAATTAGTTGAATTTTTTTTCTTTTTTTTTAAACAAATCTATAAAAGACATCTTATAGACATCTAAATTTAGATGAAAAAATATTATCTATGCACGATCTATTTTATGCATTTAATATGCATCTAAAACAGAGCAAAAATAGTATCTCTAGAATGAGACGTCTTTTCGATCTCTAATATGCGTCTAAAATATACGAATCGGCAATACAAATTAGACCAATTTTAGACGGTCTAAAAGACGTCTATTGTTTGCTGGGCTGGATCCGTCACTGATTGTAACCAATATGTTATCAACACTCAAATATATTTTTTAAGGCGTTTTTTTTTTTCATTTGTTTATTTTATATTATATTTTGTATTTGTTTACGTTATAACAAAGTTTAAACCAATTTAATGAAATTAGATAGATAAAAATTAGATTGTTAAATCTTAAAAAAAATATCTATATTTTCGAAGAACCAACCTATATCCTTCTTTTTAACCACAAAAACACAAACTTTTTGGCAAGGACTTGCCTGCATATAAATAATTGAAAGACTAGTTCAAGTCTAACATTAATATTTTATTGTTGTATTGTTTATTGAGTTTTTAAAAATAATTATGAATAATGGCAAACATTGAGAATTATTTATGAACAACAAACAAATATACAATAAAATTGTTTATTTAACTAGCAAATGTATTCAAAAACTAAAATTATTTCCGCGAAAAGTTAATTTTATTATAGGATAAACTTTAGTGAATGTATTTAACATTTTTTTTTTTACTTTTAGTTTTTATTTGGAAGCTGCAGGACATGATATTACTACGCACTGCGCAAAAAAGTTGTAAAAAAGTTGTAAAAAAGTTGTAAAAGGTAACGTTGTAAAAATCTTTCTCAAATCAAAGTGCATTTAAAAACTATTTCCAGCTGAGAATTAGTTTCTGGCTGGAATATAAAAACCCGTTAATTAACTTCAAAATGTCACTGGAAATTAACAAATCAGTGAAAGGTTTAGTCATTGTTTTTGAATTGCGCTTGAATTAGTTGTTCAAACATAGACTTTAAAATTGCTTTTCTGTAAACAAGGTTCTTAATGTTTTCCTTTATAAACTTTTAAAATATTAAAAAAAAAAAAAATTAAACAAAAAAAAATGTTCACTTATGTTTGCAAAAGCCACATTATTAGTTGAAGTCGCAAATATCAGTATAGATTAAGAAAGTAATATAGTGTCATTTTCTAATTTGACTGGTTTACCACAGCGCGATTGCGCTTTTTATAAAACCGCTATACAAATATTTAAAACAATAAACAGTAAATATAATGACGAATATATATGACAATACTTTCTTTGTAATGTCGTTTGAATGATTTAAATTTACTTAAGCATCAGCCACATTCGGTCACGTAAGTTTACTAATAAGTATTTACAATAAACCTAAAATGATAACACTATTACAATTATGGTAAGAGGATAACTATTGTTTAGAATTCGGCTGAGTTTTAGCGGAAAGAGAGCTACTTACCCAACCCTATCCGCAAAATTGTTCCTTAAACTTTATAATAAAGCAACTTTAAAATTGTGATCTGATTTCTCTCTCTTTATGTATAGATCTAATTGTAACTTTTTTAAAATAGAGTTGATAAATCTTGAATGACAAATACATAAGTAATGTTAGCTTGTTTTATAGGAGTAAGAGAGCAAAGCTAGTTTAATATTTTGGAGAGTGCATATATATGAATGTGTGTGTGTATATATATATATATATATATATATATATATATATATATATATATATATATATATATATATATATATATATATATATATATATATATATATATATATATGTATATATATATATATATATATATATATATATATATATACATATATATATATATATATATATATATATATATATATATATATATATATATATATATATATATATATATATATATATATATATATATATATATATATATATATATATATATATATATATATATATATACACACACACACATACATATGTTTGTTTATTTTACAAGGTAAAACCATATAACAGTTAGTAAATGTTACATTATGTGACATTTTGCAAATAATTTACATAATGTTTACTGATTTAAGTTTCATGCATAAAGTTATCATAAATGGAAAATAATTTTTTTATCATCGTATTCATTTTATCAGATATATGAAAACACTGGTTTGATTTGGGTTTGATTCTTTTTTTTTTTTAGTTATTTTAAGATGTTTTAATTTTGAAATTTTAACAGAAGTTTTTTTTTATTTTTTTATTTATAGTATAATTGCATGAGTTTTATTGTAAATATTTTTCTAAAAGCATTCATTAATATAATATGTTGATTAGTCATAATGCTCTTTCATAATTCTTAAAAAAAGTGGCATTGACCTAATAGAAGCTTGTTTTACACTAGCTTGTAAATTCAGGATTGCCTAAAAAAAGTGATGGATATTTTCTTTTGAATTCTATTTGCAAGTTTATTTCATTATGTTGAATATTAGCAACTTTTCAATTTAAAGGTTATAACGTTTAATTTATATATATATATATATATATATATATATATATATATATATATATATATATATATATATATATATATATATATATATATATATATATATATATATATGTATATATATGTATATATATATATTTTTTTGATACATATTTTTCTATATTTCTAATGTATACTTGCATATCATTTTTGTAAGATATATATATATATATATATATATATATATATATATATATATATATATATATATATATATATATATGTATATATATATATATATATATATATATATATATATATATATATATATATATATATATATATATATATATATATATATATATATATATATATATATATATATATATAACAAACAACAGCAATAACAATATATTTCGTGTTACAGATGTTACATAAACACAGGTCATTGCAAATAGTGATTCACTAATAAAGCGCAATGACCTAAATAAGATAGAAAATAATAATAACAATAATAATATGTAATAAGTAAAACCACATAAAAAATATGTTATAAAAGGAAGTTAAATAACATAATATTAACTAATAAAAGTAAAATTGCATAAAAATTTATTTAGTTATACCAAAAAAATCAGACTTTTTGAATATATATAACATAATTAATATAATGTACATTTATATATGCACATATACTTTAACGAGAATTATAATAAAATTAGTAAATTATAATAAAAATTATAATTTAAAATAAAATATTAAATATAAAATTATAATAAATAATAAATATAATAAAAATGAAAAATAATTCAAAAGGTAGAAAGAAAGAAGAGTAAAAAGTAAAGTTAAGCGTAACCTTTTAGGTAGAAATGATGGAGTGACTTTAAGAACAGACTCTTGAACCTATGGATGAGACCAGATTTTAGGGTGTTCGGAAGGGAGTTCCAAGAAAGGATATATATATATATATATATATATATATATATATATATATATATATATATATATATATATATATATATATATATATATATATATATATATATATATATATATATATATATATATATATATATATATATATATATATATATATATATATATATATATATATTGATCCACTCCCAACAAGGTTGCAAACAATCTCTATTAAGTTGGGAGATACTAGAAAAAAATTCTGTCAACCATTTCCTTGCTCTAGAGTTATAGAGCAAGGAATTGGTTGACAGAAGACTTAAAAAGTTAAAGGTTGTATGAGTCAGGAAAACATGAAGATAGAAAAAGTTCCAAAGAGTTGAAGTGCAAGGAAAAAAAGCTAGGTGAATAAATGTTTTTAGAGCATGCAGGGGCAGGTGCAGTAAAAGAATGAGACTTAGATGAACGATGAGTCAAGCGATAATGAGTTTTGGTTGATGGAACTAGAGATGGTAGCTCCTTTGAGAAACGACCATAATAATATTTGTAGAAAAGAGAAAGAGATGCAACTTTACAACGATATACACCAATGCTTTATTATATTATGTACAGGAGGTAACAGCCATATGGATAGGGTTGAAAGTTAGGTGCTAAAACCTTTGAACTTAAAATTTTGTGTCCCAATATGCCAATATGTCATAGTTGTGTGCTTTCCCTAGTCAAATAAAAATCTTTGCAACATTCAAAAACTTATATTTACCTTATTTTTAGCAAGAATAAAATATTGGTTTAAAATTTTTGATAGCCAATACTCAAGTGGCATTTAAACATTTTTCTTCTTAGTAACATTGTGTCAAATAATTAATTGTGTCAAATTAAATTACTTTTCTGGACTAAAGTTGAGTTTTTATTTGTTTTATTTTAATTTCCTTTTGTTTTGACGTTGTTTTTTTTTTAAATAAGAAGTCAACTTAACAATTTCAGTAGAGTACTTGGTTTAAAGGAAAATAGTTTTTGTAATTTTTTGTTAATTAAGTTGAAGCTTTATTATAATAGTATAATTAATTAAATCACTTTTTTTGTTGGATTGTTGGTAAAAATATGTCAATTTTATGAGATTAAACTGAAACTTTGAAGTTCTTATATATTTTTAATAGTTTTTATTTACTTTTATTATTTTTAATTTCTAGGCTTATTTATTTATTTTTTTTCCATAAAAAGAAAAAAAAAAAGTTCCTTTTAATTTAAAAAAAAAAGAAAAAAAGCTGCCAAGGTAGCAGCTTTAAAAGCAGCCATTTTCTATCTGAAAGGGTTAAATAACACTGCATGACTAAATTAATTAAGTTTTTAGCTTAAAGAAATTAGGTGATTTTAAATAATTGCTAGTTCTGAATTTGGGGATTGTTTTTCTCATTTTTTCATTTTTGGCTTTAATTTTTTAAATGTAATTTCATTAAATTCATTAGTATTTAATAAAACATTATTTAATGTCTATTTTTAGCACTCATTTAAGTTTATTTTTAGAACATGCATTTTAATGATTGATTGCTTTTCAAATAACGTGGCTGACGCAAATTAAAGTTACATATATATAAATTATAATGTAGTTTGATTATGAATTAACATGCCAAGACTGGAATATCTGGTATTTTTTTGCTAAAATTTTTGTATTTTTTGTGGTACTCAAAAATGTATACTGAGACCAACAGAACCTCCAAAAAGAATACACCACTTTAGTCTAAGTTAACAAAACATAGAAAACTCAATCTCGATGTTAAAGAAAATTTTAATGTAAAATTTCTATTCTATGTTTAATTCTATATTTAATCTCTATGTTTATACTCAAATTCTATATTTGTATAATGGCTGTATTTATACTCTAATTCTATATTTATACACTTTATTTAAAGTTTTAATGTAAAATTTCTATATATTTTATTATCGTGTCAGACTGTTTATCTAAACGTGCATTTACAGTTATACATTTAACAACTCTTTAGGAGACATAATAATAATCTTTACTGTTTTTTATGCTAAATAAAAAAAAGAAGAATACATATACAAACAATTATACATATACAAACAATTTTAAATTCTACAAAATTGTGCTCAATGTTCTTTAAAGAGCAGAACAAATTAGTAGAAAATCATTTATCATAAGTAATATGCATCACTTATAAGTGATTTTCTTCTACTATTACATATATATATATATATATATATATATATATATATATATATATATATATATATATATATATATATATATATATATATATATATATATATATATATATATATATATATATATATATATATATATGTATATATATATATATTATTTTTGTATGTATTTGTGTATGTATATATGCATTTATGTATGTATATATGTGTATATTTATACAGTATTAGTTAAAATAAGTTAAATGTGTCTGCTGCAGTGATGAGCAAAAATGTTAAAGATCGATTTAAATATCTTGATGAGTTATATAAAAAACCTCCTGGAATTGAGCGTGAAGTATTCAGTGTTGAAACATTATTGGATATCTTAGTTGTGCTTTATGATGAGTGCAATACTACTCAACTGAGGAGAAACAAGCATGTTGTGGATTTCTTAGAAATCGGTAAGTTTTTTGTAATAAAACATAGTAAAAATATCTAAAATGATTGCAGTTGATTCAAATGATTGATAGAAACTATGGAGAATATTGCTTATCTATGGTTTCTATCAATAAAATTTTAATCATGATAAGTAATATATAAGTAAGAGGAAGCTCTGGAAGTTCCAGAGCTCTGGAAGTTCCACAGTTCTTAATTTTAAGGCTCTGAAGGCTTAAAAAAACCAAAAATAGACTGGACTCCATAGAAAAAAAATGCAGAACTTTTTTATCCTGATATTAATTATTTTGAAATCCTGAGGATGGAAACCCATGTTTATAAAATGTTTATAAATAACAAAAATTAATTTAACTAATCAATTTAAATTATCATTTAACAAGTTAATCATGGATAAAAATTCACTATGAATTTATACAGGTAAAAAATGGATGTGCATGTCAATACAAAAGATATTCAAAAACACTTCAAACAAAATTAAGTTTTTTAGAAGTGATTAAGCAGAAGAGGGATGCCTTGGTAATTAGATTGAAAAAGTTAGGTAGTGCAAATTATTGACTGTGTTTAGTGTTAGGCATTAGTAACCAGCTATCAAGATCATTATTATTCATCAAAAAATAAGCTGGAAAACACAATGCACAATTCCACGGCGGAAAATGAAAAAGTAGTCAAATTTTATTCTCTTTTTTGTCAAGTTTTAGCAAATGAATATTGATGTAGACACATAAAAGTTTATTTAAAAAATATTTTTAATCCTAAAATTAATTTATTTAATGCCATTTTTATGCCCTAAAGTTACGGTATTTCTCATTGTTGCATGATAAAAAAGGTATCATTGTAAAATGTTATTCTAACCATAAATTTATTTGTATAATCGGAATTAAATTAACGTAAAAATGAAACTAACATGTTCAAATTGTTGTTGGTCAGATTTTATACTTTATAAAATATATGTTAAAACAAAAACCGTTACCAAAGTTCTGGCATTTTTTCGTTAACAAAATGAATTATGTCATTAAATAATTATTATTTCGTTGACAAGGTTCTAACTGAAATTTTTTATATTAGGATAATTTAGAAAAAAGTCTTATTTTTTTAATGTTAATTAAAATTATTTATATATTGCTTTTTTATTTGTTTATGTATTCTTATTTTATTTGACATAAATACACATAATTAAATAAAAACAAGAATTATATAAATATTTCTATTTAGACATAAAAAAAAGATTTATTTGCTATTCTCCTATTATAAAAACCTCCTCGTCTGTAGTGGCCTTCTCGGCCTTGAGGAGGTGAAATAACAAAAAAAAAAAAAAATCAGAATTTTTTTGTTTTTGTTTTAGTAAAACAAATCATTTGTAAATGCTACTATGGGTCATCCATAAAGCACATCACCCTATATTTGTCAATTTTTTATTTTAAATATAGATTTAAATGTAAATATTTTACTGCATTTTAAAAATTCAACCAAATGAAAATAAGGCAATAAATGTAAGGAATGTAAGTAAAAACTTCAAGAAACCAAAGATTTTCTTATTTAAACGACTCAAATAAGTATTAAAAAATTGTTACAATAAAATTATTTTTTAAAGTTGCTCTTGGTCTTGCGGAAAAACTATTTTTGATTTGATAACTTTTATAAATGTTATAAAAAAATCACTCAGGAAGAGTGCCACCAGTTTTTTAAATTTCCTTTGTTAATTATTTTGAATGAATGAGTTCAATACTTTTGCAACTGTTTTGTTACATAACTCTAACTCGGAATAATCCCGGTGGGAAATGAGCTAGCAACTAGCTAGCGACTAGCTAACTCTATAGCGATTTTCTAGCGATTTTTTTTTTCTCATTTTATTTTTTGCAAATGTCTTTAACATCTTTAAAAATTCGATTTTTAGTGTTGAGTCTATTATAACTATGAAAATAATTGAACTTTAAACATTGCGATTTTGTAGCAATGTGTCGCTAGCTACATATTGTAGCTTTGTAGCTAGCTACAAAATATCTACAAATCTATACCTGGTTGATAGCTACATATCAAAAATTTTTAGACAACGGTTTTATTACGATATGACGCTAAGTACAATAGCTAGTGGATCTTCAGCTTGTTAAGCTAGCTGTCCTCGTTGCCAAATCGCTGTCTTTATCTTTACAAAAATCGATAGCTTTTCGCTAACTTAAAAAAGCTAGCGATCCTCGTGGCCAAATCGCTGTCTTTATCGTAACGATTATAGCTAGCTATTCGCTAGCCGACTTCCCACCGGGATAGAAGTAAAAAATCCACAATAGTAATCACAAGGTAATGTATGTGATGTAACGTAAGTTAGATATATAGTATTAAAATAACAGTTTATTTTTCTTACCTGGTCACTTCTGATAAAATTGTATATATTTTTTAAATTGGCATGGGGTTCTTAAAATCTTGTGAAAGTTTCTAATACAAACCGCTTAACTGATTGGCAGAAATCTGACCTAAAAGTTGAAGCAATTTTTTTACCTATTTTTGTTTTTTACCTGTTTTTTTTTCTGTGTAATGTAAGTAAAATGTCATTTTTAGTAATAAGTTTGTCCTCTTTCAGCCAGACTCAAAACTTTTCAGCTTATTTTATTCTTTAGACTAACAGCTTTCATACAAAATAGCTAAAAGTTTTATTTACAGTTTAAATAAGCAAATATTTGATAAAGTTGTTGTGCATGTAACGTAAGTTAAAAATGGAATTGCAAGTTAAAAATGGAATATATATATATATATATATATATATATATATATATATATATATATATATATATATATATATATATATATATATATATATATATATTGTTATTTTCAGCAATGAAATTAGATAAGCCAAAGCAAAAAAAAAAGTCAACATTAAAAAGAATGATTTTCCAAAATTTTTTTTGTATTTGTTTTATTAAAGATTAAAGCGAAAATATAAATTGCTATCTGTTTTTAAAATATATTTGTGTAATTTAAATCAAACAAGTATGTTGTCCCTTTTTGAATACGTCTTTGTAATGCATGCATATACTTTTATATATAAATTTTTTAAATTATATAATTATATTTATTTATTTATAAGTATTTATATGTTTAGCTAATTTGGATAAGGCGTTTACTTCGTACATAGAATGTCTGTTTTCGAATTATTTCACAAATTATTTAAATAATAATTTTTAAAATTTTTTTTTCCTGTTTAAATTTATTTTAATTTCCTATTTTGTTAGTTTTGCTTTCTTTGTTTTTGAAATTTAGTTTTCCATAACAGTTAATATAATAAAACTTGCAAACAACGATGACCAAAGTGTCTAAAGCAATATTTGAAAAACCACTTTTAAAACAGATTATAAATGTATTCTAAGTCAATCAGAATGCTTAATTTAAATTTACCTGGATGCAATATGGAATTCGTTACAATCAGATAAAAATGTGAAATGCACACTTGGATTTGATTAAAATATGAAACGCTTAGCATTTTATATTTTTAAATAAAAACATTAACTTGTTTAAAATACCCTAAATATGAGTTTCTCCTCCAGTTACATTTTCATAACTATAGTTTACAATGCAATTAAGCTCTATAAGTTTTAAACTTTTATATTAAGAAACAAGAAGAAAAAGTTATTATCTTTTGAATAAATTAACCTTGTTATACAATAAATACTTATGTAATAAATCTTTTTAGTCTATATAAAAGAAACATACAAATTGATTATTAAATATTATAGTTATCGCTTGTTTATGAAATGTTATAATTAACGCTTTTCTCTCTCATGGGAGTAGCAATAAGGAAATAAAGTTGATTTTATTCTCTATATTAATTAGCGAATAAAGCATATAAATAAAAATTTGTGGCAAATCAATGTTGGTTTTAAAGCCATCATATTGTAATAAACGTAACAATAATGACTGTTTTGGTTAATTATCTATATATTTTTTTCAAAAAATGTAAAATACTAGAGAAAGGTATATTATACATAAGTTTTTTAAATTAGTCTAAAAAATAAAAAAGGTCCTCTAAATGTGTGTGTGTGTTTTATGTAATAAATTAGTATTACATTAAAAAAATTTTTGAATAAAAAAAGTTTTTAGGGTTCGCTCAAGACCCTTTAACATCAGACGGGTCCCTAATATTTAAAAAAAAAAGTTCTTTAAAAGCATATCATGTTGATTCTCAAAAGAAGTGAAATTTTTAAAAAATTTCAAAAATAAAAAAAAAAATTTTAAACACAAATTAAAAAAGTTTATTTAAAAAAACTATGAAAATATATACTTTTTTATTTTTTGTTAAAAAATAATATTTTTTAAGTCATGAAATTTAACTAGTAGTCTTATTATTGTTTTTGGACGTTTTATAAAATTTCACTTCTTTTGAGACTCAACATGAAATGCTTTTAAAGAACGTTTCTTCAAAAATTAGGGACTCATCTGATGTTTAAGGATCTTGAGCAACCCCTAAAAAAAATTTTTATTCAAAAATTTTTGAATAAATTTTTTGTTTGAAATGTGATGTAGGATTTATTTGAAAAACTTTTTAATCTGTAATTTTAGCAAAACCAGTAGCAAACCGCATCAAGAATTTGCGCCTGGCAAGAGATGATTTTGATACATTAAATATCATTGGTCGAGGAGCATTTGGAGAGGTTTAAATAACCCTTTTTTTAAAGCTATAAATATTTTTTTAATGTCAAACTTTTTTGATATAATAATTTCTATAATTTATTTTGTCAAGTAAATTACAATTGAAAAAATAACTTTTTTATTTGTCTATATTTTATTTTTTGTATTATGTTATAGTGCTTCTCTTTTTTGTGCAAGGTCACAAGATTAAACTTCATCACTTCTTTTGTAGTACCTCGCTTACCTTGCTTAAGTCTTACCTTGCTTACCTTGCTTAAGTCTTACTTTCTCCTATGCCAAAGTTTGTTTCTAATACATTTTGAAGATTTTATACATAAAAAAAACTTTATCACATTTTCCATTTTATGTGTATTTTATATTTCATTTTGTTTAATAATAATAACAATAAACTAATGATAGTTAAAAAACTGTTGTGGTGTTAAATATTGTAACCATAGTAACTCTAATATGGATCAAATAAATTTACTATCATCATTAAATTTAGTTTTAAAGTATATTGTTTGAATATTTTTACATTGTTCAATATAGTATGCCTTTTAGGTTGTTAGCTGAAAATGGTTTGATTTCAAGGACTCCCATTAATTACTCCTTGTCTTGAAAACTTACTTTTATTAGATGTCTACCTTTTTAACACTGGGAGCACTTACTAGTGTTAAAACTAATTCTTGGCAATCATTTTTCTAAATTTCTGAATGTCATGTTTCTTAATTTTTTTTTCTAATGCATTGAAAAGAAGTACAATTTATTGCCAGGTTTCCTTGGTAAGATGGAAAATGGTTAAAACTTTCCGGTTCAAAACCAAGTTGTCTCTGATTTAAAATGTAGCCATCAAGACTAACATAAAAACTTGTGCTTAGTTTCTGTCACAAGGGTAAGACGAACTTGATGCTATTTAATAATCTATTGTGCATTTTACCATCATGGTTCCTTGCATTCTTATGTTTTTGTTTTTCTGTATACTTCATCAAAAAACTTTTCAATTTTTTTCATGTACTTTCCACAGCTCTTTTTGACCTGATTTCTGCTTTTGTTTGAACTTTCTTTTCAAAATGGTTATATACTTTATCTTTAATTTCCAAGTCCTGGCTGCACAACAATATTTTTTCTTTTTTTGGGCCTCAATGCCTGCAGAGTCACTAACACTAGAGCCAAGCCATTCAGTTTGATGAGCATTAAAGTCACCAACAACAACAATGATGGCTGATAAATAGAGGACTTGATCAATTCGATCAGAAATAATGCCGAAAAGAGTGCAGTCTTGAGATGAAAGCAAGCGATATAGAACAAAGAGAAAGGTGATAGAGTGAAGTGGTGCTAAACGAAAGCACATAAAAGAATAGCGGGTGGATTCAAACCAATTTTTTCTGACAAATGGGTAATTTATGACAAATTAGTGATTTCTTACGAATGTATATGCCCAGGCCAAGCATGTGACTATTGGAGTCTTAAAGGAAGAATTAAAGGAAGATAATCATCAATACTAAGATCACAAGATGAGACAGCCAAACTCAAATTAGTCTCACAAAGAGCAAATAGGTCTGGTGAAGAAAAGTTACTTATTAGTGAATGATAGGTTAAGAGAACTTGATAATGACGATGGTTTTTTGTGTTTTATTAATTTTGGTTAAAGTATTAAAGTGTATTACACAGCACAATAAATTTGTGCTGCGTAATACAAGTACCTTGTATTACACACCACTTTTATGTTACTCACCCATTTTTTTATCATGTTTTTTGATCAAGACACTAGATGAGAAAGGTGTTCTAAAGCCACCTTACATATTTTCTCTACATTTTGTACCACTCTACATTCTATCTGTTGCTTTAAGTTGTTTTACAGATGCTTTATATTTATTCCTTTAATAGTTTATTTTCATAGCATAGTAAAATTCTCACACCATTTCTCCTTCAATATTTTGCAAATCAAACCCTTTTCCTTCCTCAAAATTTTTACATTTTTTTTATAAATATGTGTTACATTTTAATCTGCCTTGGATGATAAACCCTGTATCATGTGTTGCTTCTTATCTATATTTTTCTCATCTATACTTAATTTATTTCTTCTTTGCTTTTTTGATAACTACCAACTTATATAATGTTGATTGCAGCCAATAAATTTGTTGCTAAAAATAGATATTAAGTTGTATAATTTTTTCTCAAAAATAAAAACATACCTATATTATATATAGAGTTTGGTTTATTTAAAATATAACTATTTTTATAATGCAGGGTTAATATTTTTTGAAAAAGCAATCGATTAGAAAATTGGCAAAAAAAAGCCAATGCTAATAATGATATGAATTGTGCAAAAAGTGATTATTCCTATTATATACAGATTATTCCTATACAATTAATCGATCATTAATGATCCATTTTTCTGCTACTAAAATACCAATAGTATAATACATTACTTTCCATCCAAAAGAATTTGCACAATTATTTTATCTAATATTCTAATCATTGTCACCAGGAGTTTTCACCTTACCAGCAGTTCTTACCTTACCAGCAGTTCTCACCTTACCAGCAGTTTTCTTGTCACTTTACCAGTAGTTCTCTTGCAGGCAGTATATATAGCCTTTTCATACTTGCGATTTCACCCATCTCTCTGCTTTTTTCTTGCATAAAACCCACATTGAATAACCATCTACAATCTGGCAGCTTTTACCACACTGACACTCTGCTACTTTCAAGGTGGTTGACTGGTGTTAGGACCAGACATAATTTACTGGTTGCCTGAGTCAACAGTGCGCTATCAGACATGCAGTATTTTCTTTTTTTTTTGAAACTTGGCATTAATGATTTGGAAGCTTTTTTACAGATTAAATCATATCAAATCTTTTGATATGTAAACAATAGTTGTGGTAGATTTCCTAACTTACACCACACAAAACAATTCAAATATATACTTAACAAACATCTCTCATTTAAAACACTAAATTTTCTTGATGTTACCATAGTTAATGTGTTACCATAGTAAAATGTTAATGGTAAATACAATTTTGAAGTATACAGGAAAGATGCTATAACCAGTATTTAGTTTAAACCTAGCTCTAATTATGATCCAGAAATTTTAAAATCAAAATATTCTAGTTAACTAGTTACTTTACTGTTTTTAAATCAAAATTTTAAAATCAAAATATTCTAGTTAACAAGTTACTTTACTGTTTTTAAATCAAAATTTTAAAATCAAAATATTCTAGTTAACTAGTTACTTTACTGTTTTTAAATCAAAATTTAAGGACATTGTTAACAACAAAAAATAAATCAAGGTTACCAGACAACAGCAAACCTGAAATTAATTTAATTGACTGTAATTGCTCCAATATTGGTGAAACAAAATAAGTTAAAACCAGAACCAAACAACACTCAAAATGTTAAATTGAAGGTGAGTTTCTGCAGTCTGCTATAGCTATTCACAAAAAAAACTTTAGAGAAGAAATTAATAGGGATAAAGTTAAAATTTAACAGGCATTACCCCCCCCCCTCTCTCTCAAATATACACATGATAACAAATGGTTAAGGTCAACTTTTTCCATCATTTTCATCTAAAAACAAAACATAATCTAAAAGTAGATAGATTAAGCTACAAAAATAACTTATATGGTATGCACCAGGTATTATATGGTATGCACAGTTATTATTATACATATTGCTATAAGTCCTAGCTTCTAATTGCACCAGGTATTAGTATGCATATTGCTATAAGTCCTTGCTTCTAATTGCACCAGGTATTAGTATGCATATTGCTATAAGTCCTAGCTTCTAATTGTAAAAACATCAACAACAACAACAACAAAAAATTGAGCACAGAAATGGAAATGCCCATAATGAACAAAACAAAATTTTGGACTCTATTGTTTACATTCTTATGTCAAAGATGCCATTCAGACTCTGATGTCAAACTTTAATTTTTATAATTTAATTTAGCAATCATAATTTTAATTTTTAAATATGATATTTCAGTTGATGATGCTGGTGACCCAGATAAAATTTCACAAATAAATAATAATAGTATTATAACCTCATATTTATGTTTTATGTTTTTAAAATATATGATATCAATGGTATACATGATGTCAACATACATGATGTTAACATTTATATCAAATCTGAAATCCTTTTACTAAGGATCAACCTATGAAGTCCTCATACTAAGCTAGCACTCTCCCGATACACTGCTACCATACATATTTGGATAGCACTGACATGAAACAGGGTTGCCTTGTTTTTTTTTTTTTTTTTTTTTTATGTATTAAAATGCTAAATGCGTGAATATAAAGTACAAAATAATGTCAAGTTTAAATTGGTAATGGTTAAAATGGTTAAAATTTAAGTTAATAATACCAATCCTAAAAAAATAAAAATGCCATCTTCGAGATCTTGTTAACTTTAATTTGATCAGAAACAAGTTTTGGTAGCATTCTAAAGTATAACAAAACTTCTAAAATTAATCCTATTGAAATTATAATAAAATAATTCAATAAATTTAACAAACGGTTTTTAACAGTTCAAGAATTTGAATGTATATTTTTATTTATTTATATTTTGAATGGATTTTTTATTTGCCCATTAAAAACTGGGGAAATAAACATATTTTTATTTTACTTTTTTTGAAGAACTTTTTTAACAAAAAGTTTATTTTTTAAATATATGTGATCTCAATTTTATATAGGTAGCTGTTGTTCGCATGAAATCAACAAATAAGATTTTTGCAATGAAAACATTAAACAAGTGGGAAATGTTGAAAAGAGCAGAGGTTAATTTTATTTTCAATAAAAAAATTTATTAATTTTTCTTTAGCTTCTCAAAAAATGTGACTTTGAAGGAGGTACTGCAATGTTAAGATTCATATACCTGAGGATTTTGTCAGTAACAAGTAAAGTTTGCACTGCTGCTTAAACAAGTCTGCCTTTATAACAGTTTTATCAACAATGGTTGCTATACTTTGTTTTCTAAACTTTTTAACTATTTTATAATCTTTTCTTTCACTTGGTATGAGCTCTTCCTTAAGTAACTTAGTCGACCAAGGGACACAATAAAAGTAAATTGCTCCTAAATTGCTTGAGGGTTTGTTTTTTATTAAAACTAATCTTCATTCATTAATAAATTTTTTTATTTTTAAAATCGGCTAATATTGCTTGTGGGTTTGTAATCTTTTTTATTATATATTTGACACTAAGTCAAATATATAATAAAATTTAGCAAAAACATTTGCTCAAAAATATAATCTTTTTTGTACTAAAAAGTGGAAAATGAACTTTTTAATTTAAATTTAATATTTCAGTTCATTAACTAAAAATTGACAGGTCTGCACAAGATTTATATAGAAACATACTTGTCGATCTTTAAGTTTATGAACTGAAATATTAAATTTAAATTAAAAAGTTTATTTTCCACTTTTTGGTACAAAAATAATTATATTTTTGAGCAAATGTCTTTGCTAAATTTTATTATATATTTGACTTAGTGTCGTTACTGATTCAAAGGGATTGTATTTTTGGATGCCAAACCTATCAATGACCCTTTTAAGAATGTTTTTGAATAACTTCAGCCTCGTGAACTTCAGCCTTGTGAACTTTAGCCTTGTGACTGTGAAAAAAGCTGAGTATGTCATCATTTTTCAAAAAAATCAGGAAAGTTTTTCTTTGAATCATTTTAGCTTGTACCTGATTTGTTCATCCAGAAAAGTAATTTGGTCATCAATGTTTTTACTGTTGACTTTTGCATTGATTTTTTGAGCTTCCAAAAAGATTAATATATTTTTTTATTGTTGCATTTTATCTTATAATAATAAAAAAATGTTTAAATGATAGAAATCTTAAAAAAAAAAGTAATTTACTTATGTACTATGTAATTATTTGTTAATAATTAGTTATAATAATTGTAATAATTTCTATTTTATTTAATAATGGCATATTATTAAACAGACTTATATTAAAATTTCAATTTTAATAGACTGCATGCTTTCGTGAAGAACGAGATGTTTTGGTATTTGGAGATAGTCGTTGGATCACTAAACTGCACTATGCATTTCAAGATACTAGCAATTTGGTAAATATATATCATATATATATATATATATATATATATATATATATATATATATATATATATATATATATATATATATATATATATATATATATGTATATATATATATATATATATATATATATATATATATATATATATATATATATATATATATATATATATTTTAATAAAAATCACAATATTTTTTATTCTTGACATGTTTCATAGTCTTACTACATTTTCAAAAGATTTAATTTACAATTAAAACTCTGGTAAATAAATTTAAAAACTGAAGACAATACAGAGAAAAAATTTACGGACAAATAAACTTGTTACAAACCAATTAAAAATTATATTACAAATTATGACAAAATGAACTTCCTAATATTAAAATATTAATAATAATAATATAATAATAATAATGATAATAATAATAATAATAATAATAATAATAATAGTAATAATATAGTAAGTTAGATAGATAAATGGGTAGATAGATAAATTTATAGTTTCTTATGATGTTGAAAGCTTATTTACTAACATTCCACTTAATGAAACTATAAAAATACTATAAAAAGAGAAGTATCTTTACAAGGGTATCTTAGAAAACTTAAAAAACTTAAATGTTTTGAAAAAGTCATTTACAATAAAATTTATCCTGTTGGTTCACAACCAGCAAGAATTTATGCTCTACCTAAGATGCACAAACTTAGTAAAGATTCTTCTCTACCATCTTTTCGACCAATTATTTCAACAATTGGCACATATAATTATAAACTTGCTAAGCATCTTTCAGATTTATTATCTCCATATTTACCAAAACATTATACCACTTTTGACTCATTTTCATTCGTTGAAGATTTAAAACAAGTTGACATAACTAACAAATTTATAGTTTCTTATGATGTTGAAAGCTTATTTACTAACATTCCACTTAATGAAACTATAAATATAGCAACAGAATTATTTTTTAAAGATGCAACTCGCTCAAAATATTTTTCTAAAACTCATTTCAAAAAATTACTTCAAATTTCAATGTCAGGTTCTCATTTCTTATTTAACGGAAAATTTTATGATCAATTAGATGGCGTTGCAATGGGTTCTCCTTTAGCGCCAATTTGAGCTAATATGTTTATCGGTTTTCATGAACAAACGTGGGTTAATAATTGCTCATCCTCCATACCGATTTTTTATAAACGTTATGTGGATGACATAATAGCAATTTTTAATTCAGAGTTTGAAGCGCAAGAATTCTTTAAACATCTCAATAAACAACACAAAAGCTTAAGATTTACTATGGAAAAAGAAAAAGACAACCAAGTTCCATTTTTGGATGTTCTTATTAATAAGTCTAATTCACTCTTTACATCAGTTTATCACAAAAAAACATACACGGATCTTTTACAAAATTTCTTTAGTTTTGTCCCTTCATGTTACAAAACTGGTCTTATATGTTGCTTGATTGATCGAACATATAAAATTAACAACATGTGGTTTGGATTTGATAAGGATATAAAAAATCTTTCTTTAGTTTTAAAAAATAATCAATTTCCACAAAAAGTTATCGACACTGAAATTAAATTATATGTTGAAAAGAAAATTAGTCCACCTGTTATAAATACTGTTGATAATACTAATATAAGATATTTTAAGCTTCCATTTATTGGATTTTACTCAAATTTCACTAAAACTAAAATTGATAAAATTATCAAAAAGTATTGTAAAAATGTAATAATCAAATTTATATTCACAACCAATAAATTAAAAAACAGTTTTTGCATAAAAGATACACTTCCTAAGATGCTTAAATCTAACGTTGTCTACAAATTTTCTTGTGCTGGCTGTAACGCCAGTTATATTGGAGAAACCTCCAGACATTTGACAACAAGGATAAATGAGCATCTTACGAGTGACAAGCAATTGCATATTTTTAAACATTTAAATTCATCCATTATTTGTAAAACACTAATTATGATTGCTTTCAGATTTTGGATACTGCCTCTACCATTAACAAATTAAAAATAAAAGAAGCACTTCATATTAAATGGGAAAATCCTTCTTTAAATAAACAAACACCTCATTATATTATAAATTTATCTATCTAACTTACTATATTATTACTATTATCATTATTATTATTATTATTATTATTATTATTATTATTATTATTATTATTATTATTAATATTTTAATATTAGGAAGTTCATTTTGCTATAATTTGTAATATAATTTTTAATTGGTTTGTAACAAGTTTATTTGTCCGTTAATTTTTTCTCTGTATTGTCTTCAGTTTTTAAATTTATTTACCAGAGTTTTAATTGTAAATTAAATCTTTTGAAAATGTAGTAAGACTACGAAACATGTCAAGAATAAAAAATATTGTGATTTTTATTAAAATTTTTACAAATTTATTGCTAATGCGAAATATATATATATATATATATATATATATATATATATATATATATATATATATATATATATACACACACACACACATATATATATATATATATATATTTATTCAACCATATTAATAAAAATTTACAAATTTCATTGTAAATTAATAGAATTTGGCTAGGTGTGACTTATATAGTTACAAACTAATCAATGGAGTGACGTCTAAAAAACATAAAATTCTCAAAAAAATAAAGAAATAAAGAAAAAAAAAAGCAAAAAAAAAAAAAAAAGTATATATATAAATAAGAGAGAAAAAAAGAAAAGTTTGTTAATTAAATAATAATGATATATATAATAATTATAGTAATAATACAAAATAATAACAATAATAAAGTATCAATAATATTGAGAATATTTATAACACAATATAAATTATATGTACATATTTCCTACATGAAATGCAGAACCAAGATGTTTTAGAGTTTTTCAATATCCTAAACTCCATACCATTCAGACGAGAGTATTTTTTATGAAAAAAGTGTAGGCAATAAATACATTGAAGGTAGTTTTTATTTTTTTTTTTTGAAACAATCTTTGCGGTGAGTAGACATTTAAGTAGTATAGTTTATAAAATGAAATGATTGAAGTGAAATACGGAAACCAATATTAATATGAACTTCAAATAACCAAAAATTATAAAAATAATAATAGTATTTATTAATAATATAATTATATTCAATTAATAAAAAATAAAATAAAAATAATAATTTAACAATTAAAACAAGTAATGAAAAAAAATACTATTAATAAAGTTAGGGTAGAATAACATAAATATATATTAAAAATAAGTTATAATTAGTTAAATTATAAGTTTTAAGTGTAAAATAAATTAAACTCAAATAATTTAAAGTGTAAAATAAATTAAATTCAAATAATAAAAAACTATGAATGAGTAAAATATTATAGTTTTGTTATAAAAGTTATAAAAAAATCTTTATTATTAAATAACTCATTATAATAATTTAGTATTTTGTCATGGACTACTATAGTGGTGGAGACCTTTTGACTTTGTTAGCCAAATATGAAGATCACATACCTGAGGAAATGCTTAAATTCTATGCTGCTGAAATTATTTTAGCAATTGATTCAATACATCGTATGAAATATGTGCATCGGTAATTTTTTTTAGAAATATTTAGTTTATTTTCTTATTTTTTATTTATTCAGTACACATTACACAATAATATAAATTGGCATTTTATCTCCTATCAAAATAAAAGGGCATTGATTTTTTAATCAACCCAAATCCTTTAAAAGGATTTTTTTAAAGGTATTTTTAACGGACCATCGACAAGCTTTAAATGGACCATTGATAAGCTTAAAATGGACTATTGATAAGCTTAGGGCTTCACCTCTAAGTTTACATTTAGCAAACTTTCCTTTTATTGTATAGTTAATCTTCCAGGTTAAAAAAGGATTGCATTTCTATTTGATCAACTCTATCATTTATCTTTTTATATAATTAATTTTTATATCTTAAAAAAGTTGTATCTTTATTCTGACAACTGTACTTTAAATTTTTTAAGTTGTATTTTAATTAAAATACACACTCTCTCACACACGTAAAATACACAACATACAAAAAATAAGAATTAAGGATCTATTTTTAATAAGGATTAAGGATCTATTAAGAAGTTTTTTTTTTCTTTTTCTTCAAGGATTGTGATTAATAAAAAGTTAACACCACTGATAAGGTTATCATGTGAAGCCTTGAATTATTATTGAAAAATGATATTATTTGTTTGTAGAGACATCAAGCCTGATAATGTACTTTTGGATTACACAGGGCATGTCAGGTTAGCAGATTTTGGTTCATGCCTTAAAATTGCGGATAATGGTTATGTAAGTACACAATTTTTTTTTTTAATGTTATTTTTATTTTAAGTCATATTTATGTTAAATTATTCAAAAATTTTGGTTGAATAACTTAAAATTTGCGTTTAAATTTAATTTACATTATGCCACATCTAGACATAGTGCTAGATGAAGTCTTAATGCAATAGAGCACGATTAGTACACCTTTATTTTACAACTTTATTTTACACCTTTATTTTACAACATTATTTTACACCATTATTTTACATCATATGCACCGGAAACCAAATCAAAAACTGCACCTCAACAAAGGCGTATTGTATTCAGTAAAAATTGTAAAAAAAATTTCTTGTTATGAATGCACCTCTTGTAATGTTGGGTTACATTACAATTTTTGAGATGACCAAACGAATTCAGAATGTTCCAGGTATTTGAGATGATTTTAAAAGAAATGTTGTCATAAATAAGCCTTTAAAAAAAATTCTGTTTCTTAGGTTTCCACAATCCTGTTTTTTTTTATAGATAAAATTTCCTATTTTTTACCAATAACCTTTAAGAACCCTGCATTTAAGTGACAATAAAAAGTAGTTTTTTTTTTTTGTAAAAATCTTTTTACAATAAGTGTTTAGGTTTGTAGAAAACTTTGTTGAACACCCCTATAAAATAAAAACAAAAAAAGCTTTTCTAATTTTTTTTATGTCTGTAATTAAAAAATGTCTATGATTAATTATACAAAGTTGCATCCTTTCAAGCCATTTTTCAAAGCCATAAGTCTTTTTTGATTATTCTTTAAAGTTTTTATTTTTATTTTGATTCACTCCCAACAAGGAGCAACCATTATCAAGTTGGGATTTACTAGAAATAAATAATAAAATAATAAATACTAGGAAAAAAAAGAACAGAGTTATAGAGCAAGGAAATGGTTGACAGAAGACTTGAAAAGTTGATGGTTGTATGAGTCAGGAAAGCATGAAGATAGGAGAGAGTTCTAAAGAATTAAAGTGCTAGGAAAAAAACCAGACAAATAAAAGTTTTTAGAGCATGCAGGGACAGATGAAGTAAACAAATAAAACTTTGCTGAATGACAAGTCAAATGAGAATGAGTTTTAGTATATGGAACTTGGCATGATAGCTCTTTTGAGCAGCGTCTATGATAGTTTTCGTAGAAAAGGGAAAGAGATGCAATTTTACGATGATACGAAAGAGACTCAAGCTTAACAGATATAGTGGGTCCAACTATGTTTACATTGCGTTTTTTGGACCTTGTCTAGAAGAGAAAGATATTATTAGAAGAACCAACCCAAATATGACAACAATATTCCATACAGGGGCGAATAAGAGATTTGTAGAGGTAAAGAATAGAATCAGGAGGAAGAAAATGGTGAGCGCGAAATAGAAGATGTTTATTTAGCAATCAATTGTATATATGATTTTTATGAAAGCTCAGTAGTAAACAATAATCCAAGAAGAGGACTCAGTGAGAGAGTTGCCATTCATTAATATATTGACAGTATTGCAATAGTTATGCGGTAGTGGTGTAGTGGTAGAGCGCTTGCTTCATAAACGATTGGTTCCGAGTTGAATCCCCACCATGTCCCTGGTAGTACCGCGCTCAACTTGTTTCTCTGCGCAGCGGCCTTGTTCATCAAGGTTTGTGTTTCGGAGTTATAGAGTTGAGAGAGGGTTATAACCACAAATAAGTAGCCTCCTCGTCTGTAGTGGCCTTCTCAGCCTTGAGGAGGTGAATTAAAATAAAAAAAAATAAAATAAAAAAATAGTTGTTTGCAGTAAATAAATGAAGTAAGATTATGTGGTTGTCAGTTGTCAAGATTTTTTTGATTAAGTCCAAATAACCAAAAATTTGATGGCGGAACCAAAAACTTGAGTTGGAGTCACAATCTCTGCTACAAGCAGATTATTATAACCAAAAATTTTAAATGGAGTTACAATAATCTGCTACAAGCAGATTATTGTAACTTCGACTCAATTAGGACTGTTTAATTAACATAGGATGTCTATTCATTAGTTATGGTTTGTGCTGAAACTTTAAGTAGAGCACTGATTTTAATACATTCTTAATATTAAATGTTTTCCATTTAAAATTTTTAAACTTGAATGTGCCTATAAAAATTTTTAACTTTTTTAATACAAAAAGTACTTGAAATGTTCACAATTAAGTTGATAATATAGATATTTAATCATTATTGACTTATTGCAACTTATATTGCAACCTCTTCTGAAATTTTACTGTTTTTCTCTTTAAATGCAATGTTTTGTCTATCGTTTTTTTTATATATGCATCCCCATCTTGTTTGTCATTTTGAGTCTTATTCCTTTTTTTTGATGGTTTTTACTCATTTTTACTCAGGGTGTCTAATATGCTGGCCTTTCAAAATAAAAATTTTGTGTCTAATAGCGAGACTGTATGGAGAGGAGGTCAGGATTGCAGTTTTTCCTCTCGGCCTTGATAATCTCCTTTTCAGTGACTGTTTCGGTATTGGAATGATAAACGTTGGAGATACATTTTGAAATGATGTGGTATTAACATTGCTCATAGAAGTGGTTATAATGCTGGAAATAGTGGACATAATGCTGGTAAAATCAGATGATTGGTTTGTAGAAGCAATTGTATGGATGTTAGAAACATTCAGATTGCTACTAAAAGCAAATATTTGAGTTGTAGGTACCAGTGGATGACTGGCACTTAAAGATATATAGCTGACAGAAACAAAGAGGTGACTAGTAACAGCCATGTCACATGTATCAGCAACAGGGTTTGTTTCAATGAAATTAATATCAGTAGTTTCTGCTGCCAGAAGCTTTGGAAAAAACAAAGCAGTTTATGGCATTTGTTATTGTGGCAGATTTTAAGTAGGCTGAGCCAAAAAGTGCAGCTATTTGAAATTTAGTGACCAAGCGCCCAAGGGCTGCATTCGATGTGTGCAATGAGGAGGCAAACACAGAAGAATTATACCATTCTCTCCAACAATGTTAATCAATTCAATACTTTTAGTATAAGATTTATTATCATCTAAAGTCAATACTTTTAGTAAGTAGAACTAGAGAGCTTATTTTATTTATTATTTTATTTGTTATTCTATTTATTATTTTATTTAATATTTTGGCTCCTGAATATTGAATAATTTTTCTTAACCAAACAATAGACTATTCTTTTTGTATCACCCGATTTATAACACAAACATTCATATACATATATGAACTCAAAATATAAATGGAAGATATATTTAATGTGGAACACAAATGCATTCTGGATAAAAAAAATTTTTATTTTTATAGAAAATATCATAAATAATTAGTTTACAATTTGTTTAAAAACACTTGTGGTAAAATAGGGAATATCCCATTATGCCCCATTAGTGGCATATTGCTAAAAACAGTGCCACTTCTTAAACACTTTCATGTCGGCAGTTAGGTCAGCATTCGGCAATGCCAGCTATTCCAAGGGTTGATTTATATATATATATATATATATATATATATATATATATATATATATATATATATATATATATATATATATATATATATATATATATATATATATATATATATATATATATATATATACTATTTGCATATATATATATACTATTTGCATATATATATATATATACTATTTGTATATATATATATATATACATATATATATATATATATATATATATATATATATATATATATATATATATATATATATACTATTTGCATATATATATATACTATTTGTATATATATATATATATATATAATATATATATATATATATATACATACACAAATAGTATTGCGTACTAAGGTAAGCAATCTGACGTCATACTGAAATAGCCTGCTGCTGGGGGCTTCAGTACATACATCGACTGACAAATAGCCTGACTCGCAGTGGAGTGTTGCTACATCGAATGAGGGTTTGGGATGGGGAAGCAATTGTTTCATTCATCATTCTTCGTTTTTTTTTTCTTCTTTTTCAAAAAAAAAAAAACGGTATAGCTTAATGTAAGCAGAAAAAGTTAGCAAATGCTTATCAAAACACGCTTTAGTAAGTGAATATATATATATATATATATATATATATATATATATATATATATATATATATATATATATATATATATATATATATATATATATATATATATATATAAACACATATGTATATATATATATATTTATACAGCTTTTTTATATTTTATATTTTTAGTTTTTTTTATTTACCATTTTTATTTTAGTTTTTTTTTTTTTTTTTTTTTCTTAATATTAATTGATAATTATAAATTTTAATTTGTAAGGTTGTTTGTTCAGTTGCTGTTGGAACACCAGATTATATCAGTCCAGAAATTCTTCAGGTATTTTGAACATTTTTACTAACATTTTTTATATATATATTTGAACTAACCTATATTTGAATATCTAAAAATAGATTTTAAAGGTTTGTTAAGGAATTAAATGAAAGCTTTCCTATTTCATTTATTTATAAATACTATTAAATAATTGCAACTAAAAATATTAAATTTATTTTAGGCTATGGAAGATGGAAAAGGACAATATGGAGTTGAATGTGATTGGTGGTCACTCGGTATTTGTTGTTATGAAATGATATACGGGGAGACACCTTTTTATGCAGAATCTTTGATAGAAACCTATGGAAAGATTATGGAGCATAAGGTGGAGTGATTTTTTAATTTTCTTGGTTTCACAATTAGGTTGTTGAGATTTTTTAAACATCTTTAGCTTTACAATTATATTTTTTAATTATTATTATATATGTTAATCACCTCTTTAAGATATGGACTGAATATTTTTATTGTGATACTAACACTTAGATACCATTATTTAATGGTTATTATGGTATTACCATAGTAACTATTAAAAGCTCCATAAACAAGCTTATAAGCTTTTTCATTACATTATACTTATATATTATACTTTTTTACATTATGCTTATTTAGTTTTACAATTATGTAGCGTTTTTCTGAGAATTTCCATTTTTTATTTATATTTGCATTTTAAAGTAAATATTTTTAAACTTTCCTGTTTTGCAGATGCTTGCATTATACTTGCATTACACTTGCAGTAACCATTTATAAAACTTAATTTACAGGCTTATAAGCTCTTTCTCCTCCTAATGTATTGAAAATTTGAAATAGTTAATGATGGTCATAATTGATATCCTCACTTTTCTGTTTTAGAATAAGTTTTCATTCCCAGATGATATTGAAGTTTCAGATGATTGCAAAGACCTTATGTCTAGGTTTTTTTTTTGTTTTTGTAGTACTTTATTAATTTGTATATGCCTATTACATATTTTTTATTAGATTTGTTTTTTTAAGCTATGTTTTGTTAGTGTTTTTATTATTAAAAAAATTAATTTACACATCATTTTAAAAATCAAGACTTATCCGTGATGTTTTTTTTTTCTTATTATTAAGACTTATTTGTGATGTATCAGAAAGACTTGGAAAAAATGGTATAAAAGATTTTAAATTGCATCCATTCTTTAAAGGCATTGATTGGGATAACATCTACAAATGTAAAAATTTTTTTTTAATTTATGAAAATTAGTTTTTCATATAATTATTTTAACTTTGAAAATCAAAGTATTAATATAATAATGATATATATTATACTAATTAATAAGTTTAAAAATATAGTAATACATATAGGGCAGGATTGAAAAGTCTTGTTTTTCAAAAGGAATAACCTTTGTAAACTAAATTAAAATGTTTATAAGGGGGCAAAAATACTTAGCATACTACCAATAAATATATATTTAATTTTGAAAAAAGACATTGTAGTAGAATTCTAAATTTTTAGTTATAGGCATTTAAAACTTGTGTTACGGAAGGAATGATAGGTTTCTTGCGTGACACAAGTTTCAATTGCTATAACAAAAAATTTAATATTCCACATGCAATATCTTTACATGAAACTAAATAGGTCTTTATAGGTAGCATGTTAGGTATTATTGCCCCATTCTAAATGTTTTGATTTTCTTATTGAATTTCCGAAAATAGTTTTAAAGGTCATTTCTTTTGAAAAAAAAATTTTCAATCCTGCCCTATAGCATATCTTAGGTATTGTATTGTTTGCAAGGCTGCCATCATTTTGGTAAAAAAAAAAACTGTTTGACTAATAATTTGTGATAAACATTACATTCTTTTGATGCTGCTGACCAGTCTTTGTATTTCTTACAGAAGGCTAAAAAGTTTTGTCACCTTTGGTTTTTCGGTTTGGAAAATGCTTTTCTTGTTTTTCATTAAAGCTTGCATTCACAAAAGAAAAAAACAATAATTTATGTTCAGTTTGGAAAGTTTTTTATTTATAGTAGTCTAAAAAAACAATTAGGTAACCGTAACTAAAATATTAGCAAGTTAGTTGTTCAAACAGTTTGAATAATAATTTTTTAAAATTTTTTAACCACAATTTATTCAACAAATTTTAATTTGATAACACTTTTTATAATTGAAAGTATAAGACTTACCATTTAGTAACTAATGGTTACCAACTAAAACCAACTTTCCAGTTTCAAGTTTTTTCATTTTTAAGTTTTAAGAAACATGAGCACATTTAATGAAAAAATTTATTTTCTATATTAAGTTTTGTCAGAATCACCTAATATGTTTATTTTGCAAACATTTTTGTAAAAAATACCTAAATGGATTCATTTTGAACAATTAATGAATTCATTTTGCAACTTTTGAAATTTTTGAAAGTTAAAATTTGCATCACTAATTTTTTTAAAATTTCAATTAGTCCAAGATAAAATTTCTTATTTAACTTTTGTGTTAACAATTTTTATCAGTAGAAAATAATAGAATATACATATCAAATACTTGATCTTAAACCCAATTTATTATTCCTGTCTACTGCCTGCAGATGGTAGATAGGTAGGTGCAGATGGTAGGTAGGTAGATGGTAGATGGTAGATGGTTTTATTTGCAACTTGCTTTTTATGCATATATAGATTTAAAAAAATTTAATAGGTAAACCACCATATGTTCCCGAATTGGATGGAGAAACAGATGTTTCAAATTTTGATGTGGATGACTTAAATGAAGCAAAAACTAAGGTCTTTTTTTAAATAATTAAATTAAAAAAAAATTTGATAAACAATAAGTTTTTATTATTTTTCTTTTTAGGAATTTGCCCCTCCTCCATCTAATCAGGTGTTTACTGGACTTCATCTGCCATTTATTGGCTTTACTTATACTAAAGACAGGTTTGAATTCATTTGTTTACTTTTGAAAACAACTAATAGAATGGTTGTTTAATAAAAAAATTTGGTTTAGTGTGTTGTCAGATTCTGGAGATGGCGCCAGTATAGTGTCTGAGAATTCAATAAGACAAGATCCTGAAGGGGCAGCAGGTGTTTTGTTATTTCTTAAATTTTATAAACAATTTTTTTTTTTTTTACTTCTGATTTAATAGATTTAATAAAAATTTTCAATATTTGATGTCTATATTCATTTTTAATACAAGTGTTACTTATTGAACTATTTGATGTCTATATTCGTTTTTAATATAAGTGTTACTTATTGAACTATTTGATGTCTATATTCATTTTTAATATAAGTGTTACTTATTGAACTATTTGATGTCTATATTCATTTTGTGAATCCACAGACTACTCTTTTATGTGCTTTCGTTTAGCACCACTTCATTCTATCACCTTTCTCTTTGTTCTATATTGCTCTCCCTCATCTCAAGACTGCACTCTTCTTGATGTTATTTCTGATTATGTTGACCAAGTCCTCATTTTTATCCATCAGCCAATATTGTTGTTGTTGGTAACTTTGATGTTCATCACACTAAATGGCTTGGCTCTAGTGTCAGTGACTCTGCAGGCATTAAGGCCCACAACTTTTGTCTTTCTCAATCCCTAACTCAAATAGTCAACTTTCCAACTCGCTTTCCAGACAACTCGAATCATTTACCTTCTCTACTCGACTTATGTCTTGTTTCTGATCCTAGTCAGTGCTTAGTTTCTTCACACTCACCCTTAAGTGCTTCTGATCATGGTTTGGTCTCTCTGAAACTGTTATCTCATTCTTCTTTACCATCAGAATCCCCCTATCATCGTACATCTTACAACTACCTTAGAGCTGACTGGGACCCTTTTCGTGATTTTCTTCGTGATGGCCCCTGGGTAGAAATCTTTCGTCTTCATGTTGACAAATGTGCTTCTTACTTAACTTCGTGGATTCAGGCTGGCATAGAATCCTTTATTCCCTCTTGACGATTCCAGGTCAAGCATTACTCTTCTCCATGGTTTTCCTCACATTGTGCTGCTGGAATTGCCAATCGAAACCATTACTTCCATATCTATCAGCAAAACAATTCTCCAGAAAACAGACGTCTGTTTATTACTGCTAGGAACCAAAGCTTTTGTCTAATGCCAAAGCCCGCTATTCTCAGATCATGAAATCTCGTATTTCATCATAAAAATTAGGCTCTCGTGTCTTCTGGAGAATCTTTAATAGTATCAATAATAAGGGCAAGTCTGTAATTCCACCTCTTTTGTATGGTTCAGACTTCGTCACCTCACCTAAAGACAAAGCTGAATTGTTTGCCAAGAACTTTTCATCAATATCATCTCTTGATGCCACTAGTTGCATTCTACCTGATATAGCCGTCAAACAGGTTGATCCATTGCTTGACATTCGTATCACACCAGCTTCTGTATCTAAAGTGATTTCCAGATGCTGTTTTCCAGCCTGCTGGAAAGCAGCATCTGTTATCCGTATTTTTAAAAATTCTGGAGAGCGATCTGATTCATCTAACTACCGTCCCGTTAGTCTTCTTCCTATCATAAGCAAGGTTTTTGAATCTTTAATTAACAAACACTTAATCTCGAATCTCGAATCTCATAACCTACTTTCTGATCATCAATATGGATTTGGATCTTCTTGTTCTACGGCTGATTTGCTATCAGTAATAACCGATAGGTTTTATCGCGCATTAGATAAAGGTGGAGAGGTTAAGGCCATTGCTCTTGACATTTCTAAAGCGTTTGATAAAGTTTGGCATGCTGGTCTTCTCCATAAGCTTTCTTCTTACGGTGTATCTGGAAACATCTTTAAGATTATTGAATCCTTCCTTTCCAATTAAAGTATAAAAGTTGTCCTTGATGGACAGCACTCTTCTTTTTATTCTGTAACCTCAGGGGTTCCTCAAGGTTCAATTCTTGGCCCTATACTCTTTTTAATTTACATTAACGATCTTCCAGATATTCTCACATCTAAAGTGGCATTGTTCGCTGATGATACTACTATTTATTCTTGTCACGATAAGAAGCCAACTCCCTCTGATTGCTTGCAGGGGGCATCTGAGCTTGAAACGGATCTCACTTCTGCTACAGCATGGGGCTCAAAGTGGCTGGTGAACTTTAATTCAGATAAAACTCAATTTTTTTCGGCCAATCGTTATCGCAATTTAGATCAGTTTAGATCTTCCTATATTTATGAACGGTAATGTACTCAATGTGTCTCCTACCCTTCATCTTCTAGGATTAACTTTCACTTCTGATCTTTCTTGGAAACCTTATATCAAATCGGTTGCAAAATTAGCATTTGCTAAAGTTGCATCTCTTTATCGAGCTCGTCACTTTCTTACTCTGGATTCTATTCTCTATCTCTATAAATCTTAAATCCGTCTTTGTATGGAATACTGTTGCCATATCTGGGGTGGATCTTCTAATAATGCCCTTTCTCTTTTAGACAAGGTGCAAAAACGCATTTTAAACATAGTTGGATCTGCTCTTGCAGCCAACTTTCAATCTCTGTCACATCGTCGTAATGTTGCTTCTCTTTCTCTTTTCTACAAATACTATAAAGGGCACTGCTCGAAAGAGCTAGCGTCTCTTGTGCCATCTACTAAAATTCATTCTTGTGTTACTCGTCATTCAATTAAGTCTCATCTTTTTTCTGTTACTGTTCCTAAGTGCTCCAAAAACTCTTATTCGTCTAGTTTTTTTCCTCGAACATCAGTTCTTTGGAATTCGCTTCCTTCATCTTGCTTTCCTGATTCATATAATTTGCAATCTTTTAAGTCGTCTGTCAATCGTTATCTTGCTCTACAATCTTCATCTTTTCTCTTCCAGTAACTTCCAACACTAATTAGTGGTTGCTTGCAGCCTTGTTGGAAGCAAAGACAATTAAAAAAAAAATAAATATGAGTGTTACTTATTGAACTATTTGATGTCTATATTCATTTTTTAAAAGTTATTTTATATTGACGTTCTTCTCCAAAGCAAAAAAACATAGATTGAGTTTTTTTTTTTTTTTTTCCAGCAACTGCTTCAACCATTTTGGAAAGAAAAATAAAAAATCTTAATGAAGAGAATATGGAGCTAAATAAGAAACTTGGTAAAAATATGCAACCTATTATTGATTGATAAAAAAATATATTGTTTGGCCAATAAAATAGTATATTGATTTAGGTGTAATATTATTTAAAGTGATATTCCATCCAATCAGTGGGTGGAATATTATTTAAAGTGATATTCCATCCAATCAGTGTTTAGAATATTGTTTAAAGTGATATTCCATCCAATCAGTGGGTAGAATTTTATAGGTTTAAGGCAGTTTAGTTTATAGGCAATTTATTATTATTTAGAGACTTCTGCTGATTTTATAAGTTCTTTGTATAATATTGGTTTGAAAATCATGTTTTCCACTATGTATCGTCTAGTAGAGCTTGCAGCAAAGTAATGATAGTCTGACCTAATTGACTTTCACAAGCCTAAATGTCAAAATTGAGAATTCTTGCAAAATTTTTTAGAGAGGCCACCCAATTTTTTTATTGTTAATTGTCAAAATACAAGCAGAATTTCTGATTTATTATCAACTGCATTTTGACTTTGCACTCTCACAAGCAACTCTGTTAAATTTTTTCTAAATTTTATTGGATTTAGGGGGGACCCAACATGACATACTTTTGAAAAAAAAAAATTTTTAATATTATTAGGGACCCGGTAAGTGTTCAAGGGTCTTGTGCTCCCCCTAAATCCAATAAAATTTTGAAAAAATTTAACAGAGTTGCTTGTAAGAACCAATAGAAAGTTTTAAGAATATGAACAGATCTTTTTTAGAATATAAGGGGCGGCTGGGACACCCTAATATATATATAGTTTTTCTAGTTTTCATTTCAACTATTTTGATTTAGAATTTAAATAAAATTAATTTAGATGTTTTTTGTTTTATTTTTATTTAACTTAGAATTTGAATAAAACTATATAAATTATTAAAAACACTTATCTAAATTTTTTCCTTAAACAAGTTGTTTCACCATCAGTAGGTTCATTAGGAAGCTATATATTAAATATATATATATTTATATTATATATATATATATATATATATATATATATATATATATATATATATATATATATATATATATATATATATATATATATATATATATATATATTAAATACATATATATATATATTAAATACATATATATATATTAAATACATACATACATATATATATATATATATTAAATACTTATATATATATATATATATATATATATATATATATATATATATATACATAAAATACATATATATTAAATACATATATATATACATAAAATACATATATATATATATATATATATACATATATATATGTATGTATGTATATATATATATATATATATATATATATATATATATATATATATATATATATATATATATATATATATATATATATATATATATATATATATATATATATATAAATATGGTTTGTTAGCACTACTGATGATTTTTTGAAAGGTCTCTAGTGCTAAAATTTATAATTAGAGTAATTTTTGTAAAATTAAAATAAAAAAATATTTTGTTTATTGTTTATTTTGTTGACTAACATTTTTACTTATATATATATATATATATATATATATATATATATATATATATATATATATATATATATATATATATATATATATATATATATATGTATATATATATAAATATATATATATATATATATATATATATATATATATATATATATATATATATATATATATTTGTATAGTTTTTTAACTTACGGGGACAGATTTTACAAAAAATGAACACTTACGGAGGCATTAGCATTATCAGGGACATTTTAGTGAACCCATTAATTTTTTGTCCCTGTAAGCATTATTTTTTTTTTGTAAAAAAATGTTCCCATAAGAAACTTTTATAGAGAACGAAAAGTACATGCATCGACTATCAAATAGCCTGACTCGCAAGGGAGTGCTGCTACATCGACTGAGGGTTTGGTTAGGCCAGGCACCAAAGTCAGGCTTAGGGTTAGGGTTACGGCAAGGTTTAAATTTGGTTACATTATTGTAATTAATCATTTTTTGTAAATAGATGAAGTTAAAAATGAAATATAATATAAAATAAATAAATAAAAATAACAAAAATTAATATAAAAAATATATTTTTATAATGAAGTAATAAATTTAAATATGTATAAATAAAAATAGAAATAAAATAAAAGTTAAAAAATATATATATAAATATGATAAAATTGGTATAAAAAAGTAAAAAAAAAAACAGAACGGGAAAAAAAAAAACATGTCCCTGAAAGTCGCGATGTTATATATATATATATATGGATGTTATATATATATATATATATATATATATATATATATATATATATATATATATATATATATATATATATATATATATATATATATATATATATATATATATATATTTATATATATATATTTATATATATATATATATATATATATATATATATATATATATATATATATATATATATATATATATTTATATATATATAAATATATATAAAATCGAAGAAAAACAACATTTTAATAGTACTTGAAGTTTCGTGCCTTTCGGCAATCATCAGCTATTAATTTCAAATCAAAAACATAAATTAAAGTTTAAAAAACAAATCAAACATAACATAAATTAAAGTTTAAAAAACAAATAAAAATACAGTAGAATGAGTTCTGACATAATTTAAAAAATACGCAATTATTTAGTCTCCAGTATCAAACGAAGATAGCAGGAATTCATTTATATGTCGACATTTAGATATTATTTCATCTTTTTTATTAAGCCGGTTGTTTCCATTAAAAGATAAAATTTCTAATTTCTCATGAAGACAAAGGTTGCATGTTTTTGTTTTCTGGTTTGTAAGGTGTACAACGTTTTATAACTTTCCACTTTATTATAGGTATTGTACCTCTTTCTTTCAAATTTCCTTTGAAAGTATCATTTTTATATTTGATCACATTAAAAGATTTTAAATGATTTGTGTATCTGAGCTTGAATGGTGTCTCACTGATAATGAAATATAATTTTTCCTTAGAATCCGGATTTTCAGAACACACAGTGGCTTGGTAATCAATATTACTTAATAAACATTGGTTGCTTAATGGACAAGCGGTTTTAGTAATATAGTTGCAAGTTTTTGTAGTTATATTTTTTTGACGTTGTAAAATCTTGTGTTTTTTTTTTTTTGTATGTATTTAGGTGCTCCCAGAAGTCCTTACGATCTTATCATAGAGCACCGCGGGAGAGCATTTAACAAGAAAATTCTCCTTCCGTACCAAAGTCGCTTGTTGGGCTAGAGCTGGCGTCAAACCTCGAACCTCTGGGTTCTGAGCCAGAACTCTAACCACTGCGCCACGGCTGCTCACGGCTGGTTGTATGAACTAATGATGGATTTTATATTTTGCATGCAGCTATAACTAACCTTGATCGAATTTCTATTAAATATCTTGCGTAGTTTGTGATTCACAGGGAAATGTAGGTCCACCAATGCTAATAAATGATTTCCTATTTTTGTTTCTACATTTTGACTGAATGCAGGGTTATACCATATAATATTTTGCTTGCAATTTTTATTTTTAGGTGATGTAACCTGGGGTTAGTGTGTAAGCTTACAGTTATAGCCAGCTTTTTTAAAAGCCTCTTCGTAAGATGTTGTAGCATGATTAAAAACAACTACATTTGATGACGTTGAAGATAATCTTTTTTCAACAGTGCGTTGGAGCCTTTTGATAACACTAGGCGGGTGGTTGGAATCACAGTGGACATAGATCAGTTCATCATGGGGTTTAGAGTAAGGTCGAAAAGAGTTGTTATTAAGATCGAGTGTCACATCAAGATAATTTATAATTTTCATATTGCATCGGATGGATATAAGAAAATCATTACTTTTAAATATTTTTATAAAGCGTTTCTTGATTTTTTCCATCTGCTGGCCATTGGTGTTCTTAAATATTGCTTGACCGTCGTCACTATGCAAGCCAACATTTTCTTTTTTTGTAATGTAACTAAATTTGAAATAATAAAAAAAATCCTACTAACTTGCAAACTTCAGCACCGTCATAAGCCCCCATGGTAACATCAAATTGACAGCCATTTTTCTTAACCCTCGCTTCCTCATTGTTAAAAAGTAAAGATTTCCTTGAATGTTTTATTAATTTTTTATGCTCAGTAGTTATTAAAATATGCTGTTTGGCAAAGTTTAGAGTTTAGAGTTTTTTCACTTATCCAAGGCTTTGTTTAGAGTTTTTTCACTTATCCAAGGCTTTGTTTAGAGTTTTTTCACTTATCCAAGGCTTTGTTTAGAGTTTTTTCACTTATCCAAGGCTTTGTTTAGAGTTTTTTCACTTATCCAAGGGTAAAAATCATTGTCAAAAATTAAAAATTTGTACCAATGTTTGTCTTCAATTTTTATAAACCAGCCGATGACAATCATGGTGTTTTGCCATTGGTTTAAAAAGAACTTAGTTTTTAGATCTTTGTTAATTTTAGATAAAATAGTTTTGCTAATTCTCCTTACATCATTCTTTGCTTGATTTAGATGTCAAACAGTAGGGTTGTTAACAAAGCTATCTTTATGGTCTTTCAATTTGATAAAACATACAAATGATCCGTTAATTTTGATTTTATTAATAATGTCATGGTTACGCAAAACATCTTTTCCTTCTTTATTTATTTTATCTTTTAGGTTTGCATCAGCTTTTTTGTAAGTGGTAGTAATAGCATTAGTTAAAAGGTTCTACTTCTGATCATTTATGTTTTGTCAGTTTTTTTAGACGTTTGTATGGTTTTTAAGTCTTTTTTCTTATTATCTTGAAAGGTGTTTTTGACTTTTCAAAATTTTATTGTTTTAATTAGATATATTACATCTTTTTCGAAAGAAGACATCTCTTTTATTTGAGGTGGACATTTAATCGAATTTATTCCGTAGTTTATGTAAATATTATTGTCTTTGGACATAATATTGCTGTTGATAAAAAAGAACGCTTTCCATCTCATCTTCTTCAAAAATGATTTGGTTTTCTCAATTAATTTTAATTTGTATTCTTTTTCTGATGGTATTGGTATGTTTTTGATCGAATATCTTAAAATGAATTAATTTTTTCCATTTTCTAGACAAACATGAGTAGAGTGCTCAACTGGTATGAGCAAATATATTGATTGATTATGTATTATATAAAATAATACAAAACTCATGTACAATAAACAGTGCTCGATATTATAATAATAGAGCGATATACATTTTTTTATTTAAATGAAGAAAAACAACATTTGTAATTAACAGCTGATGATTGCCGAAAGGCACAAAACTTAGTACTATTAAAGTGTAAAGAAGTACTATTAAAATGTTGTTTTTCTTCATTTAAATAAAAATATATTTATCGCTCTATTATTATAATATCGAGCACTGTTTTTTGTACAAGGGTTTTGTATTATTTTATATAATACATAACCAATCAATATATATATATATATATATATATATATATATATATATATATATATATATATATATATATATATATATATATATATATATATATATATATATATATATATATATATATATATATATATATATATGTATATATATGTATATATATATATATGTATATATATATATGTATATATATATATATGTATATATATATATGTATATATATATATATATATATATATATATATATATTTTAATATATATACAGTTTTTTTATTACATATATAAGTAATATTATTAATAGTTTGAAACTATTAAATTTGTAGCTTATTTGTAACTAAAAATTACCAAAATCTTTAGTTTTAGTTTAGTTTAATTGTTAGATAATGTTCTAAATTTAAAAATTAAGTTACTAAGCTCAAGTGATCATAATTTTTAGCTTTTTTATTAAATAAGTTACAAAGTTTAGATGGGAAATATATTAAGGTTTTAGCATGCAATAAATTCTACTCTGACTATGTAACATTCACATAAAAATTTTCTACTAAGTTCTTTTTCTTGCAACAAGAAGATATTAAAATAATTAAATAAAATTTATAATTAAGGAAGTTCAAAACACATTCAAATATCAAAGTTGAAGATTTTCCTTTTAATGTTATAGTGATGTCATTATTTTTTAAAATTTGTAAATTGAAATAAATGTCCACATTTTTAAATTTATTTAAAAACTATTCATTTATTGCAATGTTATCACAAATGGTGGAAACCTTTGAAGAGGCGAAAATAAAAATCTTTTTATATTACAATAATACAACCTCCATAATAATACAAACTTCATAATAATACAAACTTCATAATAAAACAACCTTCATAGTAATACAACATAAAAAATACATGAAAGATTCAATACAATTATACAATATCATCCAACATAAAAAAAAATTCAATCAAGTATGCCAAAAGGCACCTGATGATTTCACCATCAGCATAGTCAAGTTATTGTTAAATAAGTAAATAAAAAAAAAGTTTTGTTATGTATAATGTGTGTTAATAAAGTCTTTGTAAAAAATAAAGTGCAAACTCAATAAAATCTAAGAATAAAATACTAAGTTAATGAAGTCTATAAAAAAAATAAAGTCAACGAAATCTATGGAAAAATAATTTAAAATATTAATTAATTAATATTAAAAAATGAAAGAAATACAATGAATCATAGAAGCTGTTTTTTATATCTGCAACTTATTATAGTTCAAAATATGAAAGAAAATGTAACAATTTAGTCAAAATTTTTTTTTTTAGATTTGCTTAAGAGATCTGAATCTATTAAGTCAAGTGGTGTTTCAGCACATGATCTTTCTAAAAAAAATTCTGGTAATGGTTTATAAATAGTTATTTTTTACTGTTTTATTTTGAAATCATTTTAGCTTTTATTTATGTCTTGTTTGTTTTTATTTGTACCTTTTTAAGTTTATTAAATATTTTTAAAACAATTTTTTTCTTAAAAAATATTTGTTTGCTTAGAGTTAGAAGTAAGAATCGAAATTTTAGAAAAAGAAAATAAGGAGTTGAAATTGAACACCAGCAAAGTTTTAAAAGATGGTAAACCGGTTTGATATTTAAAGCAAAAATCCTTTTTTCTTATCTAGCATTTCTTTCATATTGAAATTAAAAATATTTTTAGATGGAAAAATACACGAACTTGAACGTGCAAAAAACCTATTAGTACAAGAAAAAGAGAACTTAATTAATGAGTTAAATAATGTAAAGGCAAAAATTATTGTTTTACAAAAAGACTATCAAGAGGCAGTTTTACAACGTAAACAAACCATGGAGGAGTTTAGTGATCTTAATGAAAAACTAGCAGATGTCAGATCTCAGAAAATAAAGTTGGCTAGACTTGTTCGTGAAAAAGAAGAAGAAATAGAAAATTCAATGAATAAGTTAGAACAAACTCGAAAAGAATGCAGAGCTGCAGAAAAGTCAAAACATGAATTGATAGCCCAAGTTGAAGAAATGAAAGTAGATTTACAAAAGGAAGAAAAACTTAGAATAAAAGCTGATCTTTATTGTCAGCAGCTGGAAGAGGAAATTGAGTCACTGCATCATAAAGTTGTGCCTAATTCCTCAAGGAGTGATTCAAGCCAAGAAATAAACAGGTAAATTTAATTAAATTGATTTTATTTACAGATAATTTGGATTTAGATTTGATTATATTATTAATAATTGTGTAGTATATATATATATATATATTTATATATATATATATATATATATATATATATATATATATATATGTATATATATATATATATATATGAGATATATATATGATATGATATGATATATATATATATATATATATATATATATATATATATATATATATATATATATATATATATATATATATATATATGATAAACAATATTGTCTAATGTTGGTATATATATATATATATATATATATATATATATATATATATATATATATATATATATTTATTTATATTTATATATTTATATTTATATATATATTTATATTTATATATATGTTTATATATATATGTTTTTATATATTGTATACTATTTATATGCACACACAGAAATATATTTGCGCACTTGTAAGAAATACCATTAATTATATCATTCTAAAATAGTCATCTGTGCAAGCTTTAGTAAATACATTGAGTGTGTGTTTGGCAAGGTGAAGCTTTTTTTTCAAGAATCAAACTCAGTTTTTAGTTTTGGAAGTAGTGATAAAGCTAAAGATCAGTTTTATAACTTTTTCTAAATCTACATTGTTCAAATGATCAGTATTCAAAGTGAAAATGTTGCCAGCGATCTTTGCTGGCAAAATTTTCACTTTTAACAACCCAATATCTTTTTTATAGATGACTCCATATTGACTTTTTTGTATAGCATTTCTAACGTCATAAAAAAGTTGTAACATTCTTATTAGGTTACCCTAATAGGATAGAGTTGTAACATTCTTATTAGGTTACTCTAATAGGATAGAGTTGTAACATTCTTATTAGGTTACACTAATAGGATAGAGTTGTAACATTCTTATTAGGTTACTCTAATAGGATAGAGTTGTAACATTCTTATTAGGTTACTCTAATAGGATAGAATTGTAACATTCTTATTAGGTTACTCTAATAGGATAGAGTTGTAACATTCTTATTAGGTTACTCTAATAGGATAGAGTTGTAACATTCTTATTAGGTTACTCTAATAGGCCAAAAGATGCCAAAAATTATTGAAAGATTAAAGCAAGATCAGTTTAAAATTTGTTGACTCTTGTCAACAAATCACAAAAGTATATTTTTATACTGTATTCAAAGTTACTTATACCTGCAAATCCATTTTGTGCCCATGTAAATTACTTCCATAGTGAGTTTTTATTCATGACTAAAAAACATAAAAACACTGCGAAATTTTTTTTGCAATATCATTTAACACCATGGTGACATAAGTTTAATGTCATTTAATTTATTTTAAGTTAGAGCTTTATAATTGCATTTTTTTTTAAAGTTTTTGGTTTTTGTTTTAGTTTTGAAGTTTATGAAGTATTTTTTTTATCTATTAATGATAAGTGTAGCTTCTTAGTTATGATAATTTTCTACAAAATTTATGAGTAATGATCTATTTAGTTATTCTGGTATGTAAAACTATGAATTTTGATTTGATTGACTGGTAGACCAGAAAGTTAGAAATTTTCATGAAATTTGGATTTGATAAAATTGAAAATTCTGTGTTCAACTTAACATTTCCATAGCGTAAAAACCAGAGCATTTCATAATATATAAACTATATATTTCATAATATATAAACTACTGTAAAGATACATAAACATTTAAAAAAAGGTTGTGATGTGCTTGAATATCAATATTTATGAGGAAGGAAAGAGGTGTGGACTTCTAGTTAAATGCTCTTCCGTTTCTAGTTAAGTGCTCTATGACCATAAGATAAGACCATAATGACTTCTGGGAGCACCTAAATAACCTTTTAAAAAAAAAAGATTTCAGTCTTCTTGTTCTACTGCTCATTTGTTTATAACCAATAAGTTTTATTATGAATTAGATAGATAGATGTGGAGAGGTTAAGGCTATCGCTCTTGACATTTCTAAGACCTTTGATAAAGTTTGGCATGCTGGTCTTCTCCATAAGCTTATGGTTTATCAGGTAACATCTTTAAGATTTTTAAATCCTTACTTACCAATCGCAATGTAAAAGTTGTCCTTAATGGACAGCACTTCTTTATATCCAGTAACTTCAGGGGTTCCTCAAGATTCTATCCTTGACCTTAATTAGCGACCGGGGTTGATATTTGACCGGGGCTGGGTTTAATAAAATATAGCTAGGGCTGGGTTTATGACTGGGGCTGCTTTTTTTTGTTCAAATTTCATGTTATATTTTGTATATATATGCATATATAAACATTATTATGATCAACATGATCATTATAATCATCATAACCATCATCATCATCATCATCATTATGATTGTGATCATCATCTGGTTATCTTCTCTTTTGGCAAATACTACACCATATACATACTTAAGTTTACATAAATATGAAAGGATATTGTATGCCAGCATCTAAATAAATAGCAAACACGTATGTTTATATCCATAATATGTATGCATAAAGAACAAATCTCTCTTAAGAATAAACGTCCTTTTATTATTCCAAGAAGCCAATGTTATAAAATCCTGTCTGATGTTAAGTTCTGTTATTCTCATCTTATTTCTTTAACAGATGTTAAATTCTAGAGACTTTTGGTTAGTCAACAATGTCATTAACTAAAGTAAGTCTAACATTTATTATCCAATTCATGGGTTTGATCTTTTTACTTCTCCTCAGAATAAAGCAGAGTTTTTTGCAAAGAAATCTAATTTGACTCTTGAATCTAATGCCCATACTCTTCCTGCCAGTTAAACAGATTAACCCATTGTTAAACATCCTAATCACTCTGGCTTCCAATGCTTAAGTTTATTCTCAATTAAACACTTCTACATTTTGATCTCCAAAATATTTCATAGTCTTAAAAAAGTATTCTCTAGAACTTTCTTTAACTTTTGCTAAACTTTTAAAAATGCTAAATAAGTTGTTCCAATTCTTTCAAAACTCTAGAAAACACTTTGACCTCTGCATTAGTCTATATTAGTCTTCATTCTGTTATTATTTACTTTATATAAAGGATTTATTTATTTTTTTTAGATTGTTAAATTGTTTCTTTCTAACTGCAGTATTAAAGTTATTCTTAAAGGCCTACACTCCTCTTTATTTCAAGTGACTTTAAGGTTAATACAAGGTTCTAAATTTGCTTCTGTATTGTTTCTTATCTGCAATATTAATCTTCATTTTACATCTAAAGTGGCACTATTTGCTGATGACTCAACTTTATACTTTTGTCTTGATAAAAAATCTTCACTTTTTAATTGCTAAGAGCAAGCAGCCGAATTTAATCTGATCTCTCTTCTGTTACAGCCTATGGTTTGCATGGGCTTAAGGATTTATATTCTGGACTTAAAATCAATTTTTGTTGGACAACAAAACTCGTTTATTTACTGCAAAAAAATATTGTAATAATGTTGACATTCCTATAATGATGAACAACAACCCTCTTACTCTCAGACAAAGTCTAAAAGCGCATTGTAAATGTAATTAGATCTGCTTTATCTGCAAAGCTTGAGCCACTCTCCCATTGTTGTAAGGTTGCATTTCTTTCTCTTTTTCTACAAATACCATCATGGTCAATGCTCAAATGAGCTATCATCTCTATTACGATAAACCAAAACTCATTCTTGCTTGACTTCTTATCTGTCCATTAATGTTATAAAAATTTTTATTAATTCAGTTTTTTTCCTTGCACAACAAAAAAGCCCTATAACTCTTAGCCATCTTCAAGTTTTTCTTTTACATACAACCTACAACTTTTAAATCTTCAGTTAACCATTTTCTAGTATTTTTACTTATTCTCTATTTTAAAATAACTCATAACTTAATTGTGGTTGCTTGTAATCTTGTTGGAAGTAAATTAGAGTTTTTTTTTTTTTTTTTTTTTTTTTTTTTTTAACATCTTCACTTCCAACAAGGCTGCAAGCAACCACTATAAGAGTTGGAAGTTACTGGAAGAGAAAAGACTAAATCTGTAGAGCAAGATAACGATTGACTGATGACTTAAAAGATTGCAAATTATATGAATCAGGAAAGCAAGATGAAGGAAGCGAATTCCAAAGAACTGATGTTCGAGGAAAAAAACTAGAAGAATAAGAGTTTTTGAAGCACTTAGGAACAGTCACAGAAAAAGGATGAGACTTAATTGAATGGCGAGTAACACGAGAATGAATTTTAGTAGATGGCACAAGGGACGCTAGCTCTTTAGAGCAGTGCCCATTATAGTATTTGTAGAAAAGAGAAAGAGAAGCAACATTACAACGATGTGACAAAGGTTGGAGATTGGCTGCCAGAGCAGGTCCAACTATGTTTACAATTCGTTTTTGCACCTTGTCTAAAAGAGAAAGAGCATCATTAGAAGATCCGCCCCAGATGTGGCAACAGTATTCCATACAGGGACGGATTTGAGATTTATAGAGATAGAGAATAGAATCTGGAGTAAGAAAGTGTCGAGCTCGATAAAGAGATGCAACCTTAGCAGATGCTAATTTTGCAATGGATTTGATATACGGTTTAAAAGAAAGATCAGAAGTAAGAGTTAATCCTAGAAGATGAATGGTAGATGACTCATCTAGTACATTACCATTCATAAATATAGGAAGATCTAAATTATTACGATAACGATTGGCCGAATAAAATTGAGTTTTATCTGAATTAAAGTTCACCAGCCACTGTGAGCCCCATGCTGTAGCAGAAGTGAGATCCTTTTCAAGCTCAGATACCCCCTCCAAGCAATCAGAGAGTGTAGGCTTCTTATCATGACAAGAGTAAATGGTAGTGTCGTCAGCGAATAATGCCACCTTAGATGTGAGAATATCTGGAAGATCGTTAATGTAAATTAAAAAGAGTATAGGGCCAAGGATTGAACCTTGAGGAACCCCTGAAGTTACAGGATGTGAAGAAGAGTGTTGTCCATCGAGGACAACTTTTATACTACGATTGGAAAGAAAGGACTCAATAATCTTAAAGACGTTACCAGCTACACCATAAGAAGAAAGCTTATGGAGAAGACCAGCATGCCAAACTTTATCAAAAGCTTTAGAAATGTCAAGTGCGATAGCCTTAACCTCTCCACCTCTATCTAATGCACGGTAAAACCTATCGGTTATTACTGTTAGTACATCAGCTGTAGAACGAGAAGACCGAAATCCATATTGATGATCAGAAAGTAAGTTATTTGATTCAAGATGAGAGATTAAGTGTTTGTTGATTAAAGATTCAAAAACCTTGCTTATGACAGGAAGAAGACTAATGGGACGGTAGTTAGATGAATCAGATCGCTCTCCGGAATTTTTGAAAATAGGGATAACAGATGCTGCTTTCCAGCATGATGGAAAACAAGACTCTGATAAGCACTTGTTAAATAGTTTAGAAAGTATGGATGAAAGCTCCGGAGAACACCTCTGCAAAACTACAACAGGAATGTTGTCAGGACCACAAGCTGTTGAAGAGTCTAAGCAGGAAATTACTTTAGATACAGAAGCTGAAGTGATGCGAATGTCAAGCAAGGGATCAACCTGTTTGACGGCTATGTCAGGTAAAACGCAACTAGTGGAATCAAGAGATGATATTGATGAAAAGTTCTTAGCAAACAATTCAGCTTTGTCTTTAGGTGAGGTGACAAAGTCTGAACCATACAAGAGAGAAGGAATAACAGATTTGCCCTTATTATTGATACTGTTAAAGATTCTCCAGAAGTCTCGAGAGCCTAATTTTTGTGATGAGATACGAGATTTAATGACCTGGGAATAGCGAGCTTTGGCGTCAGACAAAACCTTTTTACAATGGTTCCTAGCAGTAAAAAACAGACGTCTGTTTTCTGGAGAATTGTTTTGCTGATAGATATGGAAGTAACGGTTTCGATTAGAAATTGCTGCAGCGCAATGTGAGGAAAACCAAGGAGAAGAGTGAGGCTTGACCTGGAATCGTCGAGAGGGAATAAAAGATTCCATGCCAGCCTGAATCCACGAAGTTATGTAAGAAGCACATTTGTCAGCAGGAAGACGAAAGATTTCTACCCAAGGGCCATCACGAAGAAAATCACGGAAAGAGTCCCAGTCAGCTTTAAGGTAGTTGAATGTGGTACGATGATAGGGGGATTCTGATGAAGTAGAAGAATTTGATAATAGTTTTAGAGAGATCAAACCGTGATCAGAAGTACCTAAGGGTAAATGTGGAGAAATTGAGCACTGACTAGGATCCAAAACAAGACATAAGTCGAGTAGAGAAGGTAAATGATTAGGGTTGTCTGGAAAACGAGTTGGAAAGTTGACTATTTGAGTTAGAGATTGAGAAAGGCAAAAGTTGAGGGCCTTAACGCCAGCAGAGTCACTGACACTAGAGCCAAGCCAATCGGTGTGATGGGCATTAAAGTCACCAACAACGACGATATTGGCCGATGGATAAAGAGAGAGGGCTTGGTCAATTTGATCAGAAATAACATCAAGAATAGTGCAATCTTGGGATGAAGGAGAGCGATATAGAACAAAGAGAAAGGCGATAGAGTGAAGTTGTGCTAAACGAAAGCACATAAATGAATAGTCTGTAGATTCATACCTAGTTTCACGACAAATGGGTGAGTTCTTACGAATGTAGATGCCCAGGCCAAGCATGTGATTATTGGAGTCTTTACGAATTAAAGGAAGATAACCATCAACACTAAGATCACAAGATGGGACAGCCGAACTCAAATTAGTCTCACAAAGAGCAAGTAGGTCTGGTGAACTTTGCAAGAGATAAGACTCAACAGAAGAAAAGTTACTTCGAAGACCACGAATATTAGTAAATGATAGGTTTAGAGAACTTGGTGATGACGATGGTTTTTTGTGTTTTTTAGTTTTAGGTACTTTAGTCATTTTAAATTTATAAAGAACTTGACTCAAGTATAGATAGTACTCAGTACACTATTTAACAACTAAGCAATAGCCTCATTACTATTAATAAACCCTAAGCCGTAACAAAGGGCTCCAAATGTGGCCTCTGCAATGCACACCAAAAGTACAAACAGGGACACCATCCATGCGCAACATGGCACTGTTAGTACTCTGATATTTTTCAGCTGTTGATGGAATCAGCCTCTCTGAGAGCTACCACAGAGTTCGGGAAACCTGACTACCAGCCGGCCTCAGAACCATAAAACTGAGTTTTAGAGCTGTACCCTTATTAGGAGATAATAGAATGAGTTGCCCAGTCATAAAAATAGAGACACAAGCAATACCCACGCATTGAGTCAAGAAGATCCAGCGTTCAACATCCTAAACTGGAAACAATGTATTAAAAATACATCTGCGCCAGCCTAATAGATGAGGAAGGGGTGCGAGGCTGGTCAACAGATAGAATCTGTTTACCCCTTAAGTCTTTGCCTAGGAGGCCTTCTACAAGACAGCAGCTGGATGCATGTAACATCTGCCCAAGATGAGTATTTTTATCGAGACACCATCTCTAGCCTTTACTCAACCAAGAGCCCCAAGGCAGGGGGTGTTTTAATTTGGAGTTAACTTCTCCTAGCCTTTGCCTAAAAAAGCGTATCCTACAAGGCAGCAGGACATGGAGCAGGTTGTACTGGGTTACATGTTACCAGTAGCAGGAAAACCTGACCTGACCTTAAGTTTGAAAATATATATATATAAGTATATGCCAGTAGTTAATAAATAGTAAATGTAAGCATAATATTATAATATATATATAGTATTGTACATTTTTTCTAGCCAAGGCTATCAACCTCTGCTGAATCTTATAGTTTTGCTGGGGATGAATTTGAAAAAAGTCTCATTTTTAGCTGGGGACAGGGCCAGGGTCCTGGTCACTTACTATTTGGCCTTATACTTTTTTTAATTTACATTAATGATCTCCCAGAAATTCTCACATCTAAGGTAGCATTGTTTGTTGATGATACTACCATTTATTCTTGTGTTGATAAGAAGCCATCTCTGATTGCTTGGAGGGGCATTTGAGCTTGAAAAGGATTTCACTTTTGCTACAACATGGGCCTTTCTGTTGCTGGTGAACTTTAACACAGATAAAACTTTTTTTGAGCTAATTGTTATCACAATAATCTAGATTTCCCTATATTTATGAATAGCAATGTACTTGAAGTACATTGTGTAATATAAAGTAATTATGGTGTAATTAATTATGAGATAATGTAATTTTTTGTTTCATCATTTATTTGAATAAATATAGATTAAAATCCGAACTTGAAAAAGTAAAAAAAGAAAATGAAGAGGTTTTGACCAAAGAACGTAAGCAGCTATCTATTGAGTTAAAGGTACAAGAAAATTTTTTTAATCAGCATGAAAATATTTTCTATGCTGAATAAATTCAATTTAAAAAAGTAGCTAAAACTTTTAAAAATAAGAAAAAGTTTTGAAATATTTTTCTTATTATCTTTTTATTATTATAGGTTCTTGAAGAAAAGTATAATGATATGGTAAAAAACAATGCAACACATGAAGAGGAGGTAATTTATTTTTTCTTAATAAAGACGTATTTAATATAAAGTTGAAAAATCTAACCATATGAGCCTGCCTGAGAAACTTGCAGAGTATTTGCAATGGGTGTTGAAAAAAATAAAAGATAAGGATCTGAGGAGAGCAGTTACACAGCAACACTTTTTTGAGGACACTAAGATAACACTTAATATCACAGTAATACTTAATAACACAATAACACTTAATAACAGTAACACTCGGAAAAATTTTTTTAACTTGAAAAAATTTGTTTTTTTAAATTTGAAAAAATAATTAAAATGGTTTTTGTTGCACATATCAATCATTCATTTTGTTGCACATATCATATCATTTTTTAATTTGCAGAACACAATCTTTGGAAAATATTAACAACTATATGAAAAGCAATAAACAAAAAAAAAATTTTTGTAATAGTGAAATTGAAGATTGTATGTTTATAGTCTTGTAAAATTAAAGAGTTTATGTTTATAGTCTTGTAATAGTGAAATTGAAGATTGTATGTGTGTATTATATGATTTTGTGTCTAAAATGTGTCTCGAAGGTTTTGTGTCTCAAAGGTTGTCATTTACTCTGGAGTTATAAAATAAATTGAAAGATGATCAAATGTCAAAATTCTTTAAAGAATTAAGACAGAAAAAAATTTGGTTCAAACCAAAGCTTTAAGCCCTTTAGTGCAAAATAATTTGTTGAGTCAGCCAAATACTTGGTTCACTGTTATATATTCTACTTGATACTTAGCCTTGAAGTTGTTTGATGTTAGGACGTCAAACAACTAATCTACTATAGCATATATAGATCAGCAATTGCTCAATATTTTTGCTTACATTATTCAATCCAGCTTTCTCAGAAAAAGAAAAAAACAAAGAGTAATTAAAAAAAAAATTACAGAAAATTATTTAACTGTTTTGAACTATAAGTAACCAGGTAGTATTGCTATTATAAATTTTTACCTTTAGTTATAATAATTATTAGTTTAATTAAAATAATTAAATTTATTATATATAATATAGTTGTTATACATAATATTAAAAATAATAAATATTGAAAAAAGTTATACTCAGTATGCAATACTTAAAAAATATACATTAAACTAAAAATGTTCTACAGTATTAACTGCACAATCATCCATCAGTTTTTTTTTAAAGTAAGGGGGGGGGATATCTAAATATGCTCGAATCACAATAACACATTAATCTAACTTATCCAACATTTAATTTGGTGGAGCACCTTTTTAATTCTCAATTATTTCTCAATTAATTACAAATGTTTTACGGATTATTTTCTTTTTAAGATTGAAAACTTTAGATTGAAAAACGAGAATTATTTGCTGACATTTAATGCTACATATACATGTCTGGTTTTTGATGTTGATTGTGTAATATTACTACGCATTACTAATTAGACTACAAATTACTAATAAGATTTAATTTTTTTTTTTAAGATAAAATTGCTCAAGGAAAAGTTACAAAAAAAAAGGAAGGAAAGGTTTGTTTATACTTTTAGAACATTTTTTTTGTTTTTAGTGCACGTTTGTTTATTTTTAACACTTGCATTGAATCTTTTACAACACTCAATCAAATTGTTTTGATTTGACAATTTGAATTGCATGCTCTAAATCGATTCAACAAATAAAATTGCATGCTGTAATTTATTTCAACAAATCAAATTGTATGCTGTAAATCAATTTAACCAATTAAAATATTTCTGAGCAAGATTTGGTCCTAAAATGCAAAACTACCATAAAATCATTTGGCAATGCAGAAGAGTTTTGTGGCAAAGAAGTTGTTCAGGAAAATTTTTCATAAAAATTATTGGGTAAAAAAGAACTGTAAAGTTACAATAAAACTGAAGTTAAATTTCAAAATAAGAAACTTTTTAAGGGTTTTTAATGAAAAAAGTATCCAGTTGGCACAATGCATGCTTTAGAAGTCTAAAAAGTGTATTAGTATGCTGTAATACATGTTTTAGGCATCTTAAACCTGTCTGGTTCCCACTGGTTAAAAACTAAATTTAAAATGATTTAACTGAAAAAATTCTCTCCAAAACTAATGGTTTTGCAAGTCATACGTCAATGTGGGTTTAAATCAGAAGGTTTTGATAAATATGAAAAAGAATTGAAGAAAAGCATTGGTATTGAAAAGTATCAATTCTGTAACAACACACAATCTTACAAATTGTCTGGAACTTTGTCCAATTGAGAAATAATGGGCAATTATTAAAGCTAAATTATGTAAGAAGTTTAGGGAAGCAAAATTAAATACTGACTTTGCGAACAAGTATGATAAAGCTACCACAGAGTGGCTTGTAAAACTAGACTATGGATCTCAGCTTGTGTTTTATGGCTTTTATTAAAAGTTAAACCAAAAAATTTTATTGGTGAAAATTTTTTCCTTCATTAGATTTTTGTTTTTGACTTCATAGATTTTTTTTTAATGCAAAAAACTTTTTAGTTCAATTTAATCTAAATTAATCCAAGAAATAAGATTTCAATTTTGTTTGTATTACCTCAAACCAAAATAATTTTGTGTAATATTATGTGAGGGTGTGTAATATTATGCCAGGGTGTGTAATATTATGTCAAAGTGTGTAATATTATGCCAGGTTGTGTAATATTATGCTGGAGATAAAAAATTTTATTAAAAACTTTTGATTTATTTTTTTAGTTATAATTGTTCTATATTATTTTAATTCAGTTTATGTTATGTCGTCGTAATGTTGCTTCTCTTTCTCTTTTTTACAAATACTATAATGGGCACTGTTCGAAAGAGCTAGCGTCTCTTGTGCCATCTACTAAAATTCATTCCCGTGTTACTCGTCATTCAATTAAGTCTCATCCTTTTTCTGTTACTGTTCCTAAGTGTTCCAAAAACTCTTATTCGTCTAGTTTTTTTCCTCGAACATCAATTCTTTGGAATTCGCTTCCTTCATCTTGCTTTCCTGATTCATATAATTTGCAATCTTTTAAGTCGTCTGTCAATCGTTATCTTGCTCTACAATCTTCATCTTTTTTCTTCCAGTAACTTCCAACACTAATTAGTGGTTGCTTGCAGCCTTGTTGGAAGCGAAGATAATAAAAAAAAAAATGTATCCTTTTTTTTTTTTCACCCTGTTTTTCAAAATTATTTTTTTGTTGTTTTTATATGTCATAGTTTTGCATTTTGCGTTTTAGTGAAAGTGTTCAGCAAGAAGCTTTGATTGATTACAAGAATGCATCTCTTCGTAATAGTAATGTATTAAAAAATGAAAATGATCGGTTGTCTGCTCAAGTTAAAGAGGTTTTTTAATTTATCAGTTTATGTGTTCATTTGTTTAATCTGTCCTTTTTTAAAGTTTATATTTATTGTTTTGATAAATGGTTTTGTTTTTAATGTAATATATTTTTGTTTGAAATGTAGTTATTTATATTATATTATATTTGATTGTTATTTTTAGTTAACATCTCAACTTGAACAAATTTCAATGAACCATAAAAATTTAGAGGCAGAGCTTCGATTATCGTCTGAAAAGCATATGGACATTGCTCAATGGGAAGAACAAGTTGCAGAAATAGTTCAATGGTATACTTAATTAAAAAAAAATTTTAAATAATAAACTCAATCTGAAAAAAAAAAAATCTTGAAATTGAAGATCTAAATTTGTTAAAATACTTAAATATAAAAAAAGTATTCATTACTTTTTAAGTTTGCATAGGTAAACATAAACATGCATAGGCATTAGTTAATTATGTTAGCATTAGATATTTTATCTTTTTTTTTTATAATTTTGGTTTTAAAAGTTAGTTTTAGTTTTATTTATACTGATTATTTGAGTTTGTATTGACGAATTATTGCAAATTATTCTTAAATTGCAAAGCTGATTACATTTTTACAGTTTGTTTGAAAGAAAGCTTATGACTTTATCACAATAAAAATGTTTATAAAAAGTTTTTTTGCTCTTGATTAAGATTATTTTAACAATCCTATTATGTTGTATTAAATTTATTAGGGTGAGCGATGAAAAAGATGCACGTGGTTACTTACAAGCATTGGCATCAAGAATGACGGATGAACTTGAAAGCTTAAAAAACTCAACAGGAGGTGGAGTAAGTATTTTCAGTTGTTTTTATCGATGTTCATTTTAAGATGAATCATTTTTTACTTTATTTTTTTTTTTATATATAGAATAAGAATTGGCAAGCAAGGCGTTCACAAAAGTTAGATAAACAGGAACTTTTGTCGTTGCAAGCAAGTTTAAATTTAGAGGTGCAAGCTAAACAACAACTGAATGATGAATTAATAAAAATTAAGAATTTGTATAGTCAAACAGAAAGGTTTGTTTATTAATTTAGTGACAAAAATTTTTCTGTCACTTTGTATTAATTGTTTTTTAATTTTATATCAGGCGCAACGAGGAGCTAGAAAATCAACTCAAAACTCTTCAAAAAGAATTAGATCATCTTCATCAAGAATCAAACACAAATAAACTTGGAGGTAAAACTACAAACATTTTTTATTACAGTGTTTATGCTGTGGTTTATAACAGCCATAGATTTTCTAATTTGAAAATTTTTAAAAATAAAATAGATAAGAAATTTTAAAAATAAAAAGTTTAAAGGGTTTAAAATTTTAAAAATAAAAAGTTTAAAGGGTTTTACCAAGTAAGTGTCATAAGTAGTAAATAAGTAAATAAGTATCATAGTGTCTGCTGACACTTTCTTGGGTAAAAACAAATTTATCCAAATAACATAGTTTTATATATTTTAAAACTGTTTAAAATTTAATTAAATATACAAAGAAAAATAATATTAATTTACTAATATTTTGTAATAATATAATATAAAATTTGGAAATTCTGATATTATAATGTCTAATGCAAAATAGTTTAAGGTAATCAAAGCTTTTCTACAATTACTTTCACCGGATGATACTGATTCACCCAATGATACAGATTCAACTTGATATTCAACAGAGTAGAATTTTTAATTTGCACCAGTTCACTTATTACATTTGTGGCATGTTTGAGCAAATGCAGGACAATCTTGCACAATTTTTGTTGATTTGTATTATTATTTGATTTTTTTTTTCCAATTTTGTTGATTTGATTTAACCCAATTGGTTATAAATCTTTTTTACTATATCTTCATTATTTGAGAATTATCCCCAATTTTGTGTCCGTCTAATTAACACATTTCTTTGTCTTGGCATTCTGCATCTTTTTACCAAATTCAATATATTTTCCATGTTTCATTTATTTCATTTCTGTACCTGCAATTTCTTCAGTTCTGTAAATCACCTTTGTTAGACCTAAATCTGTTCAATTTTCATAGTAGATTATTTCAGACTTTTTCAGGTTTGATCCTGTCAATTATTTTGTATAAAAAAAAACATTTTATAATACAAGTTGGATATTTTTAAATTCACATATTTAAGTCAGATTTCTCAAATTAGTCACAAAGAAGAAGAACACAAAGAAGTTCTTAGGAAATCAAGATGAATTCAAGGATTCCTCAGAAGCTTGAATTCCTGAGAAAATCTTTCTTTGTTTTAAAAATTAGTTTTCCTTTCAGTAGACACTTTAAATGCTTCAAACAGTTCTTTAACATTAATATAAAATAAAAATGATATAATATTATATAATATTATATCATCTTTATTTTATTTCAAGTTTAGCTGTTGAATATTTGTATCCTTTTTTTCACTCACAAAGAAAAAGAATGGCAAGTATTTTTCTTCCACAATTTTTTTTTCATTGCTGCATTCAGAACTGCATAGTTTTCATTTTTTCTGTATAACAGCAATACTGGATTCAAAAAAGTCCATTTTGCTCAACTTTGACTCAAAGTTTCCATTTTTTTTGAATTAAAAACGAATTTAGATTAAAATTATGTTTCTTTATAAAATGTTTTCAATTTTTTTAAACTTAATTTCATTTATATGTTTGCTGAAAATTTTAAATAATAAAACATTTAAAATAACTTTTGTTATTTTGAATGTTTTTAAACTTTTGTTATAATTGTTTTGAACTTACAACTGAATAACATTACACTATTAGTTTTGAACTTACAACTGAATAACATTACACTATTAGTTTTGAACTTACAACTGAATAACATTACACTATTAGTTTTGAACTTACAACTGAATAACATTACACTATTAGTTTTGAACTTACAACTGAATAACATTACACTATTAGTTTTGAACTTACAACTGAATAACATTACACTATTAGTTTTGAACTTACAACTGAATAACATTACACTATTAGTTTTGAACTTACAACTGAATAACATTACACTATTAGTTTTGAACTTACAACTGAATAACATTACACTATTAGTTTTGAACTTACAACTGAATAACATTACACTATTAGTTTTGAACTTACAACTGAATAACATTACACTATTAGTTTTGAACTTACAACTGAATAACATTACACTATTAGTTTTGAACTTACAACTGAATAACATTACACTATTAACTTAATAAACAAATTTTATTTATTTTTTATTTTTATTGTTGTTGTTAATTTTATTATTACATTAAATTTGTACTATTGCATTAAAACTTTCTTAATCAAATAATGTTTACCTAACTTTGAATTAATAAGCCTCATATTTAATTAGACATCATTCTTTTATTGTTTTCCTCAGAAGGATGGATGACAAATAATTTTTAGAAAATGTAGAATTATAAATGAGATAAAAATATAGGTTACAAAATCAACAAGTTTATATTTTGGTTAACTGAGTAAAAATATTTTGTCACAGTAACATTCAAAATGTTGCCCTTTAGATTTGCCACCCCAGAAAAATGTCCACTCCTAGAGTAGTTTTCTGTTTGAGCTTGGGATCTTTAATACCCCAAAAAGTCCACCCACCCCGAATGTAATACACCCAAAAAGTCCACCCACCCTGAATGTGAGACACCCAAAAAGTCCACCCACCCAGAATGTGATAATAATGAGGTATAAAAATTTGTATTAATATTATTTTAAATTTTTTCAAATATATTCTGAATATAGTTGTTGCAGCAAGGGAATTAACAAATATTAGAATTATTAATATAAAGTAAACACCTATCAAATTAAATAATAATAAAAATAGTTATAATGATAATAATAATAATAATAATAATAATAATAATAATAATAATAATAATACAAGTAGTAATATTAGTAGTAATATTATATATAAAAAGTATGTATTATACTATTATAATAATAATATAACAATGATAATTATAACAATAATAACAACAGTAAGAATAATAATATTTATTATAATAAAAATAAAGTAAGAATAACCATAGCGATGAAGAGACTACTAATGAAAATATTTCCGTTTAAAAGTAATTACATTCAGATTGAGAATAGTATAGCATCACTACAACAACAACACTAGACAACCATGCTAGAGATGATTTTGAGACTTAGTATTAGTTGAAACTTTGATGTTTATGGTTTCTTAAATTGATTTTCAAGTATTTTTTTACATTATTGAGGTTGTTATTGAAAAAAGATGTATATACAATTTTTTAGAATGTCTTTTTGAAATAACTGAAATATTTTTTACAATTAATTTTATTTCTGTGCAACTTAAATTTAGTCAATAATAAATTTTTAGTATTGACATTTTTTAACCTAGTAAGGTTTATAGCAGAAATAGATTTAAAAACACCAGAAGTTATCCAGGGTTAGGTTCATTTATGTTATCATCTTTTATGTAAAATTCCCAGTTAATAAAAGAACAATTAGAAGTTTTAAAAAGCATATTTTTCTCATCGCCTTCAGAGTGGTGGTGGTGGTGGTGGGGCTTTTTGGGGTATTTAAATTCCCAAGGTCTAGTATCATTGTGATTTTTTTGACATAAACATACTTAAGTTTGGAGTTTGCACAACACCTGAAATCTGAAACATCAAAATATCTATGCCACTGTGTATAATGATGCAATGTAAATTTTTTTAACAATATGCAAACTTAAATAAACAAGTTTTGTCTTTAACATAAATATTTTATCAAAAATATTTCATGTAAAATCAAAAAGTTTCTCCCAAGTTCTTGAGACAAAGCCATACTCTCGTGATTAGGTTATTGTTGTTTATCATTTCTAGAAGTCTTAATATTCTGTTTACTCACTTGTTTCACAAGCGCAGAGTGATCGCCCTTGTCCTAACATAAGGCCTGATATACTGTTTCAAGGATATATTTTTTTTAGAGTGTGTGTAATAGTTAATGAAATTCAATAAAAAAAAATAAAAACAATAATGGAATAAATAGTTAGTTGTAAACATTTTTTTTTTTTTTTTACCAATTTTTTCTTAATAGTTAATAGTTTTAATGTTTTATTTTTATTTTAATAAAATGTGTTTTAAAAAATGGATATATATTAATTACAATTAATATAACTATAATTTAAATAAAAAAATAGTAAATTTTTGTTTTTAAATTTATTCAGGAAGTGGTTTCAGCTTCTCTTTTTTAAATTTGTTGGCTCCTGAAGTTCTTACTCTACCTGAGGATCTTCCAAAGGTACAAACATTTTTTATTGTAATTTAGAAAAGAAGATAAGTAATGAAAAAATAAAGCAAAAGACCAAAGTAATTATTTTGTGTTCATTATTGCTTTTTGTTATCATTATTCATGATAGATAATTATTTGTTTATTATTTTTGTTATTGGATTGTCATTAGTTTATTATTTTTGTTGTTGGATTGTCATTGGTTTATTATTTTTGTTGTTGAATTGTCATTAGTTTGTCATGTTAGATATCAGATTTTTATTAGTTTATCACATTTGATATTGGGTTGTTGGTTTATTGTTTTTATTTTATAATTAAAATATCTTAAAAACTATGCATCACAGAACAAAACATCCAATAAAAAAAAATTAGAAAATTAGAATGGTAGCACAATGCGTAACAGAAGGTTGCTGGATGAAGGTTGTTGGATGCCAGTTAGATGCACATATACTTTTTGTATAAAACTGTGTGGTTGCAAATAATATAATACATATAAAGGGCCTATTTAGCAATATTTAATGATTAAAAAATTTTAGATATTAAATATTATCAAAAATTTAAACAGATCAAAGAAGAAGAAGATCAGAAAAATATTGAAACCGTTGAAGTTGACACTGCAATTCAATCAGTTGCATCTATTAAAAGTATTGAAAAGAAGGAAGAAAAATCAGATGTAAGCTTGAAATTATTGCATAAATTAAGTTTAAAATTTTGTAAAATCTTTTGACAAAAATTTTCTTCTATGATCACTTTTCATTTTAGCACGATCATCAATTTCTAACAAAGACTTTTAATTCACCTACAAAGTGTCATGTTTGTATGTCAATCATGTTTGGATTTTCAAGACAAGGAAATTTATGTGGAGGTAACAGATGTTTACATAGTTAAATTATACCAAAAAAAGTTTTTATTTTTTTTTAAAGCAGGTAATCTGCGGTGCTTGAACTAGACTGAGCAATGAAAGCCCACAGAGAAATATGAAACATTTCTATAGAAAAAATATTTTATATAAAGGTGGATAAATAAATAAATACAAGTCAATAAAATTATTGGATAAATAAACCCAATCTGATAAGATATAAAAGTATATATAAAATTATAAAACAATAAAACCATACAAAGTTAATGCCATCATAGATATCTAGATAGAATATTGCTAACCAATTAAAAAAATAGATTTTGAATAAAGTATAGCAACAACAATGAGACCACTACAATTTTAAACGTCAAAAAGCTTAGCTGGGGGAGAAAAAATATACATATGTACAAAAAATGACAATCTAAAAGCTAACATTGTCACATATTTGCATAAATACATATATATATAGATATACATACATACACATACATACCAATGGTTGTCAAAGAAAGTATTAAATGTTCCAGTACGATAGAGTCAAGTATTACTAGAAACCAGCGTAAAAAATTTATTCCTGAACTATATCTAGCTAACCCAGCCATTCTTTATATTAACTATGAAGGATATAATATCTATACATAGGATTTATATTATCTTCTGGTTCTAAAAGCTAGCTCAGACATATTCCAGAAACAAACTTTTTTTTTCTGTGGAAACAGCAATTATGTATTAAACCATAGTTCTGTTGTGTAAATACACACAAACAAATAAATAAATAGGGAAGCATACATAAAAGGAGTATTGTATATAGAAATATAAAGGATGAGATAAAACAAAGACATTTAATTAGTTCAAAAAAAGTCTGTCAAAAAAGTTTTGAAATGTTTTATATATATATGTTGGTGTATAATAATATAGTTGGATGAAATTTTTTTTTAATGATTTTGTTAGCCTTAAAATTAAATTTTTATTATATTAAAAATTATTTAAAAAAAAAGACATTTAGCAAACTTAAACTTAAATGAAAATTGACTAACCTGATGCATCCTGATGTATCCTAATTCAACCTGTAACCTGATGTATCTGATTTGTTTTTTTATTTACCAACCTAATATATTTGTTTGTGGTTACTGTGCCCACAAAAAATTGAAAGCAAACTTTTTTAAAATAAAATCAAAAGTTATGTGTTTTTTAAAAATACACCATATGACTCTTATGTTCATTTATTTGATAGTAAATACTAATGTGATGTTATTTTTGTTTATTTAAAATAAAAACTGTTGGAAAAATTCATTTTAGCTTGCGGTTATAACTGTCACATGCATTGTATAAAAGAAGCTGTGAAGTCATGTCCAGTTCCTCAACATTTATGTATGCTGACTTTATATTTAGCTTTTACCTTTTTTCACAGTTTAATGTTGTATATATGTATATAAGTAAATATGTTATAGTAACAAACCAACCTCTTGGCATTGATCCAAACACGGGTGCAGGAACAGCTTATGAAGGTCTGGTCAAGGTAATTTTTTTTTTCTTTATTTACCATGTATTCATCAATCATTTTATTTTAAAAAAATTTTGACCCTTTTAATCCTCCTTTTTCTATTTTTGATTTTCCGTTTATATAATTTGCATAATTTATTGTTGGCTATAATTTTGACCATATATGTTAAAAGCAGTTACAATGAAAAAAATAATTTTAGATTCCAAAACCAGGAGGTATTAAAAGAGGCTGGATAAGAGCTTTTGCAGTTGTTTGTGATTTCAAAGTTCTCTTTTATGAAACTGTCAATGATAAAATACCTACTAATACAATCCTAGAAGTAATTGATATGAGGTTGGTTGTTTTTTTTAAGGTAAATAAAAAAGTAGAGAATATCCGCTTATTTTCGTTACTTATTTATCTTTATATATGTCCTCTTATATGGACATAAACAAACAGTAAAATACAAGTATTATTTTGTGTGAATATATATCAGGGCTGTGGAGTCGGAGTTGCGGAGTTGCAACATTTTTAGCAGAGTCGGAGTCGCTGAACAAAATTGCGACTCTGACTCCAATAGTAAAACTTCTCGATATTGCAAGTGCATGTACAAAACATTCAATTAACCTTATGTTCATACTAAACCTCAAAGAGTTTAGTATGAACATAAGGTTAATTGAACGTTTCATAAATTTGTCAAAAAAAAATTATTTTTTTTTATTGCGTAACATTTTTTAAAGAATTCAAAGAATTTTTCAAAAATTTTGCTTTGGAGTTGGAGTCGGAGTTGGAGTCAGAGTCGGAGTTGCACTCAAAAAATTTCAACAGCTAGAGTCGGAGTCGTTACTTTTTTTTTACGACTCCACACCCCTGGTGTATATATATATATATATATATATATATATATATATATATATATATATATATATATATTTGTGTGTATATATACATACATACATATATACATACATACATAAGAGTTGTGTAATGTATGTATATATGTATGTATGTATGCATGTAAATTTATTTGATATTTTTATGAGTTTTAAAGATTTTAATCATTAAGTATTAAATGTTTGTAATTTTTAAAAAGTTAAACAGATAAAAAGTTAAAAATAAATTTAAAATTACTATAAATTGTTTAGGTAATAGATTACCTTTCACTAATCCTTCAATGTATTACCTTGCTAGATATTCAATCTTTTTTTTTTTATGCAGCTTTTGCACATGATATTTAAGCTTGGGTTTGAGGATGAGGGGTTGAAGAAGTATAAAAAAACATAATGATTATTTTTTAGTTTAAAATAATACAAAGTAATAAAAAAGAAAAATGAGAGGGAAAATTTTGGGCTTTACTGTTATAAGTTAGAGAAATCAAGATTAACAATTGTTCCAATAAGTGTCACATCTTGTATATGAAATGATTTTTATTGAAGTAAGCTATTTCTAGAGATCACTTGACTTTGGTGCTTACTCATGGTCACACTTCTTGCTGAGGAATACTTCAGATTTGTATCTGTAGAAATAATCACGAAGTGTGAAAGTTTTTTTTCAATGCCATTTTAGAGCTTATCTTGAAGCTTTAAGTCCTAAAATTTTATGTCAATAAGAGAGAATACATTTTAACTGTATTCAATCTAACTGTCTATCTTACTGTTAATTTTTTTTAAGGCCACCCTGTACTTCATGTCAATCTAGTTTTTTAAGGCCATCCTGTACTTTAATCTTGAGTGTTATGGTTTTATATTGATAGTTCAAATTAATATAATATTAATATTTGTTTTTAAAACATATAGTATATTATATATATATATATATATATATATATATATATATATATATATATATATATATATATATATATATATATATAAATATAGAGATGAAGATTTTTCAGTGTCAAGTGTTCTTGTTTCTGATGTCATACATGCAAAGAAATCAGATATAAGCAATATTTTCAAGGTATTTTTTATACTTTAATTTATTGCAAACAATCTAATCAACATAAACTTTAAAATTCTCTTTCATATTATTGCTATGTTTTGTGTTTTGATAATTATTGCTGCATATTGATTTGATATTTATTGCTATGTTTTGTGTTTTGATATTTATTGCTACGTTTTGTATTTTGATATTAATTGCTATGTTTTGTGATTTGATATTTATTGCTATGTTTTGTGTTTTGATATTTATTGCTGTTTTGTATTTTGATATTTATAGATTTGTGTTGGGAAATCAACAAATGGTTTTAGTTATGAACAACTTGTACTTTGTGATAAAGAAGCTGACCACCAAAAGTGGATTGGTACATTACAGGAGTTAGCAAGGTTGTACAATAAGTGTCATGGTTCAGAACGCAAGGTATAAATGCTTTTATTTTTTTTATTTTTTTATTTTTTATCTAGGTTTTTATTTTGTTTATTTGTTTTTATTCCAGAATAAATATGTAACTCGTGACATTGTTGAAAACATACCTATTTTACGAACTACTGTTTGTGCAGCTGTTATAGATACCACAAGAATTGTATGTGGTTCTGAAGAAGGACTTTATTCCTACCATCTTGGTAAAGAATCTTTGACACGAATTGATGAGACTAAAAAAGTTGTGCAAATAGAAATGGTCCATGCAGATCAGTTACTTATTGTTTTGTCAGGTAAATCTTATTTTCACTTTTTTCACATAATTGTTTAAAAAAGATTTTAAAATTAAAATTTAATCAAACATAAATTACTTAAGTAAATGATTAAATTTTTTTTATTTTAGGCAAACAACGCTACATAAGTTTATACTCTTTGTCAGTAGTAGAAGGTCTAGAAATTGAGCCAATAAAAATACCTGACTCAAAGGGTAATAAAATTTTTTTTTTTTTATATTTGAAATGTTATTGCAGATTATTAATGCTGCCCTTGCAACCTGTAACTTGTAGAGTTATGTTAAAATTAAAGTTTTCTTGCAATTTACTTTGCAATTTTTTCTACCTTGCAACATTTTCTGATCTAATAGACTAGTGTAGATTTTGACTAGGGGTGTACCGGATCAGAAATTTTGAATTCTGGCTGCAACCAGATTTGCCTGAATTGTTAAGAAAATTCCGGCCGGAACTATATTTATGCTTAGGGATCATCCATAAGGTACATACGCTCTGATGAGAAGAGGGGGTTTGCAAATGATGTATATGAGATGGAGGGCTGGAATAATTATAAAAGTAAAGAGACCCTAAATTGAAAGAAAATATCATAAAATGTTAGGTAGGTAGATTAAAAGTGTAGGTATTTTTAGGGAGGTGAGGGGTACTCAAAAAAGCATATAGCAAAATGCATTGGAGGAAGAGGGGTTGAAATATTAAGTGTACGTATTTTATGTACGGCTCCTTATGTAATTTTTTACCTTTAAGACTAAAAGTGAAAGCCTGCACCTCAGCATAAAGCCTACTTTATTTATAACCTATAATATATATATATATATATATATATATATATATATATATATATATATATATATATATATATATATATATATATATATATATATATATATATAATTATATATATGCTAATATACAATTGCTCGTTTTTATTCACCCGGCCTTAAAAGAGCTAGTCTATTGCCCAAAACTGGATGACAAATCTTTTTACACTACAATAATCCTAAACTTCTGAAAATTCTTACATAATTGATTACTGCAATTAAAACTACATAGTGTTTGTTAAAAAATTTTTACCTAGGTTTACCTTTTGCTCTTCATTGCCTTGTAGGACAATGATTTTTTGATAAAATTTATATAGTCTGTGTCACTTGTCTTATAAAATAAAGGTTGAAATAAATTCCAGCATTCCGGCCTAAAAATTTTTTATTTCGGCCAGACCCAGAATGATCTAAAAATCATGAATTCCGGCCAGAATTCCGGTCCCTAATTTTGACCTTTAGCTAGATTTTTGATTTAATTTATTTTTTATTTAATTTTTCTTGCTAAGAGGTAGAAAATGTCATTCAATAAATTTCAGTTGGGTCAAAAATGTTAAGTTATTTTAAACTTAAGTTTCACAACTAATCTTCATAAAGGTTAAATAACGCCCTCATCAAGAAAAAACTTTTTGTTGATGTTTTTTAACCCTAAAGTAATCATTTATTTTTAAATATTTAAAATTTTAATACAGAACATTTTTCCCCTTTTACCTTTCATAATCCTTAATTTCCCTTCCTTATCTGACTGGTGTAAATGTAAACCTGTGTTACATTGTTTTCTACCTAGAGTAATGAACTCTATCTTTTTGAATCTAATTATAGCTTTTTTGCTTATCTCTCCCTAGTAGTGCCTATGCAACTCTTTCTGTTATCTCTTAAGTTTAATGGTTCAGAAGTTGGTTAAAAGTTTTTTTGAACATTGTGGCAGCTCACTGAAAGGGTAGTTTTATCAACTTCACTCCTTGATTTGTGTCTTGTATCTTACCAAAGTTTTTGCTCAGTTTCTTCTTGTTTTCTCGGTGGTTCAGATTAGGATCTCACTAAAGACCTATGATCTCACTAAAGACCTATGATCTCACTAAAGACCTATGATCTCACTAAAGACCTATGATCTCACTAAAGACCTATGATCTCACTAAAGACCTATGATCTCACTAAAGACCTATGATCTCACTAAAGACCTATGATCTCACTAAAGCTTTCCATACTTTTTCTACATTCACCATTGCATTTTTTACACTCTTACTGAGATGAATGTTAACACTCTTACTGAGATAAATGTTAACACTCTTAATGAGATGAATGTTAACACTCTTACTGAGATGAATGTTAATACTCTTACTGAGATAAATGTTAACACTCTTACTGAGATAAATGTTAACATTTTTACTGAGATAAATGTTTACACTCTTACTAAGATAAATGTTAACACTCTTACTGAGATAAATGTTAACACTCTTACTGAGATAGATGTTTACACTCTTACTGAGATAAATGTTAACACTCTTACTGAGGTAAATATTTACACTCTTACTGAGATAAATGTTAACACTCTTACTGAGATGAATGTTAACACTCTTACGGAGATGAATGTTAACACTCTTACTGAGATAAATGTTAACACTCTTACTGAGATAAGTGTATGCACTCTTACTGAGAAAATTGTCAACACTCTTACTGAGATAAATGTTAACACTCTTACGGAGATGAATGTTAACACTCTTACTGAGATAAGTGTTTATACTCTTACTGAGATAAATTTCAACACTCTTACTGAGATAAATGTTAACACTCTTACTGAGATAAATGTTAGCACTCTTACTGAGATAAATGTTAACACTCTTACTGAGATAAATGTTAACACTCTTACTGAGATAAATGTTAACACTCTCACTGATTCCTCAAGTCTCTTATTTAATATCTTCTCATATTATTTATAACTCTTGACCTCTCATGAAAACTATTCATATATTCAATTTCAAAGTTAGCATTTGCTTAGGTTGCCTCTCTTTACTGTGCTCACTTTTCTCTTCCACTTGGTTCCATTTTCTATCTTTACAAGCCACTTATCGGTCTTTGAACATTGTTATCATATTTTGCTGGTTCTTTAATTGATTCCTTTTTTCTTTTAAGCAAGGTCAAAAAATGCATTGTAAATGTAGTTTGACTGATCAAACTTCAACTTATGTCCTATTATTGTCCTATTTCAGCTTTTGTCCTATTATTGTTCTGTCCTATTGTTATTCTGTCCTATTCTTAGCTTCTGTCTTATTATCTATTGGTCTATCAGTGCATTTGTGAATGGAACAAGAGACTTGTATACATAGTGAATGAGTTCAAAAACTACAACTTCAAACATCCTATATCATTTTTCCTTAATCTTAAATAAAATTAATTTTAAAAATTCTGAGAACTATTTTGTTCTAACTTATTGACATGATTTTCATTTCATGTTTAAAATATACTCTTATTTTTTTAAATATGATTACTACAACTATTATCATTAACTTCTTGTTTGTTTATTTTTTATAATTATCATCAAAGTATGATTTTTAAATTTTTGCTTAGTTTAAGTATGTTCTATGTGTGTATGCTTATTATTAATCATATTATACTAGCTGGTATGACCTTTACGATATGGGTCGTGGGAAGTTTAATCCACACCCGACAATTTCTAAACTTGTTCCTTAGTTTTTATACTTTAATTTATTTTAGTAAATGGCAAAAAATAAATCTATTTAAAGTTCAGGTAGATGGTAAAATACAAATTTTAATTGCAAACCATAAAATATAATTTATGGTTCGCAATTAAAGTTCGCATTTTACCATTTACCAGATGGTAAAATGCAATCTCTTAAAAAAATTGTATCAAACTTTAATTGCTTGTTAAATTATAATTAATTTTAAAGAAAAGTCTAATTTAAATAAAATATATCGAATACCAATATATTTAATTTAAAAAATCAATGAGCAAATGTTTTTAATATCATGACTGTTGTGGTCATTAAAATGTCTTGGTTCGCTAAAACACAGTTTGCATTTTACTGACTACCTAAAGTTCTTGATTTTCAATTTACTGTTCTTTAGAATTAATTAGTATTTTTACTTATTACTTATTTACTTTAATATTTTCTACATAATAAAAGTATCTTTAGCATATAAGATAGTTGCGTTAAACTTAGGCCATGATAATATTTTAACTCTCTCATAAGGATTTATTTAAAAAGCAAATTTAGACATTAAAAAATGGACCGAAGAGACCTAGTTATTTCAAATAAGTTAGCTTTATCTGTTTGATATATTTTATAAAAGCCTTTCCGTAAAAAAACCCTTAAATTATTTATATAATTATAAAAAGTTTATATAATTGTTAAAATATTTTAACAATTAAACTATTTTAACAATTAAAATTAGCTGTGGTGATCCATACGGGTCGCGGCAACCCTAATCCACATCCGGATGTTTCCAAACTTGTTCATAGTTAGGTCTCTATACCTTAAGTAAACAGCAAAAAATTAGTCGATTTTAAGTTTTTGGTTAACAATTGACTTAATATACTTTAGAAACTGTACTTATTTACTTAATGTACTCTAATATTTTATACATAAAAGGATCTTTAACAAAAGAGACAGTTGTGTAACATTTCTTCAGGTGTTTTTGAAAACTTAGGCTATAATCAAGATTTTACCCTCTCATCAATATGTATTTAAAAAACAAATTTGGACATTGAAAACGGGCCTAAGAGACTTTTTATTTTTAATAAGTTAGCTTTATCTGTTTGATACTTTTTATAAAAGCGTTGCTGTAAAAAACATAACTGTTAACAAATTCATTCAATTAAGCTGTTTTTACATCCGAAGTTATTAAACATGTTGTTTGTGCTAAAAATCGATACTTAATGCAAATGGAAACTTCTAATGCAAAATGCGATTTAAGTATAAATGGTTTCTATTCATATATATAAAAAGCAACGGAAATATAAACAAAGCAAAAATCATCAATATATCCATTTGAAACAATAAATCCAAAAATAAAAAAATATAGATATTTACTTAAAAAACAAAAAACGTATTTTTCTTGAGATAAAATAAAAATATAGACTTTGAAAAAAAAATTACAAAAAAATATTATATTTAACAAAAAGTAACAAAAATACTTAAAAAACAATTTATATTGAAACATTATTTCACTATAAGGCTTTAGGTAAGCCATAATCAAGTCAGCCATAAGAAAAGGAGCTCGACTAAAAAATGGAACAAAATTATTTTAAACACATAATGCATATTAATTACAAATTAACGTGTCATGCAATCAATTAATTTTTTTGAAAACTCCAAAATGCGAATAAGTGGATAACAAACTTACTTTTTATTTTTCCATAACCCTGGCAGGTCACATGAAAGTGAGCTAAGCCTATTAGCATAAAACATCACAACTATTAATTAAATAGCCGAACATGTTAAAGTAAAGTCTAGATAACCCACACCTTTAAAAGACAAAGAAATTAGTTTAGTTTAAAGAAAATTAGAGTTATTGGGAGTATAATATATAAAAAAAAGCTGAAGTGGAATTTCAAAATTAGTTTATATTGTTGAGGGTTGAGTTTTCCTGAGTTTATTGTACATATTTGAGCTACTAACTGCACACACTTATAAAAACATACATAAACATTAAACATAAAAAATAAATCTTTTACTTTATATAACACATATATATTAACATTAACATATAGGAAATAACTCATTATAAGCAATTACCACATCATGAGACATTAATATTTATCAAAAACCATTAAAAACATCACATTTTAAAAATGAAATATTATTTGTGCAATATACATTCAATGACATACCTTGTAGTGCATGTTACTCAAAGTTATACAATAAATTATAAAATGTCTTGGTTCTGGAACATGCTACATAGAATTTTGCTACCTAGAACCTGAAGTCGAATGATGATATGTGACAAATTCACTTAAAGAATACTCAAATATTCGCCACAATGCTTCTAGAGCTGAGACATAGCGACAATTTAAAAACACGTTTATTTCATCATGGTTAACTTGCTCATTTAACACCACATTGGCACAGTCATGCCCTTTGTAAATGTACTTATATAAGTACTTAACTGGCTTTATGGTCATGCAGGCTTCAACATTTATGGCTTCAACATTTAGGCTTCAACAAATATCTAAAAGGCCAAACATGCTCTAAAACTCCGTGTAAAAACGTGCACCAATGGTGAGCAGCAGCAGCATTAAATTAAGTATTAATTATAAGCGATTTAAAAACTGGTGTCCTTTGATCAGAATTCTGTTTGAGTGACACTAGTTTACTCATTATTATATTATTATATATATATAATTATATATATATATATATATATATATATATATATATATATATATATATATATAATCAATTATTTTTATATACTACAATCAATTTTTTTTTTTTAATTATTATTATTATATTTATCATTACTATAATATTATTGTATGACTTAAAAAGGAGAATAAATATCTTCTTGTTGTTGTTATTATGATAATTTATGGGTATCAGTTCATATTATAATACAATACATTTATATTAAAGATATTACAAAGCTTCAACTCATCCCCTTTAGGTTGGAAATTTCTAATTCATTTTCTCCTGCTTCAATAATTACAAATTGAAAGTTATAACCAAGATATAAATTTAGGCACAATGCATTCTATCAAGCTAGATAGTAGTGGTTCAAGCTAGATAGTAGTGGTTCAAGCTAGATAGTAGTGGTTCAAGCTAGATAATAGTGGTTCAAGCTAGATAGTAATGGTTCAAGCTAGATTGTAGTGGTTCAAGCTAGATAGTAGTGGTTCAAGCTAGATAGTAGTGGTTCAAGCTAGATAGTAATGGTTCAAGCTAGATAGTAGTGGTTCAAGCTAGATAATAGTGGTTCAAGCTAGATAGTAGTGGTTCAAGCTAGATAGTAGTGGTTCAAGCTAGATAGTAATGGTTCAAGCTAGATAGTAGTGGTTCAAGCTAGATAGTAGTGGTTCAAGCTAGATAGTAGTGGTTCAAGCTAGATAGTAATGGTTCAAGCTAGATAGTAGTGGTTCAAGCTAGATAGTAGTGGTTTAAGCTAGATAGTAGTGGTTCAAGCTAGATAGTAGTGGTTCAAGACAATTTCGTTTTATTATTAAAAAGTTAAAACATATATTTAAAAGTTGTTTGCAACTTGTAAATTGAAAATCTTAGTTTAAATGTTTGGATCCGATAAATCTCTGGTTAACCTCTGTTACATTCCATGTTATAATCCTAAAATTGCATCTCGTTGATGCAGTTATACATCATTGGGGCAGAGGATTAGGTTTGGCAGCTAGAGATAAAAGCTTGCTTAAACAGCATTCATGCAACAATCAATAAGCAATTCAATCAAATGGAAAAGCAACAATTATACAACTGCCATGATTAATGCTTAAGCAAGCTTTCGTCTTTTATTTGTATTTACCAAAACTCAATCTTTTTGGGCGTGTTATTCAGCACAGTTCTTTTACTGTGCTTATAAGTATGTACTGGCGTCAAGTAAGTATGTAGTCTTCTGTTAATTGTTTTTGTTGTTTTTTTTTGTCTTTATAAATTATATATTTTCACTTTGTTTTGAATATTATTTTAATGCTATAACTCGTTTTGAATTTTTATTGTTTTCTAAAATGCTTTTCTTTTTTTTTGAATTTTATTCTTTAAAACTTTTTTTTTTTCATTTTACTCATTTGTCTTATAGGGGCCCTCTTTTTCACAGTGGGCAGTATTCGTCAAAGTAGCTGTACATGCTTATGTGTGGCTCAAAAAAAAAGTGCTATTCTTTATGAACTAAACAGAACTAAGACACGTTATCGCAAGATGCGGGTAAATTTTTTTATAATTGAACTTTTTTTTTGTTTAATTTTCTTTTATGCTTTAATTTATATTAACACATTATTTTATCATAGGATGTTCCATTTAACTTTTCTTGTCAGTGGGTGGGAATATACAATAACAAGTTATTGGTTGGTTATCCATCAGGATTTGTGATGATAGATATTCTAAAAGAAAGTCCTCCAATCAGTAAGAAATTTTTTTGTTTTACATAATTGCAGTTAAATTTTACATGGATGTAATTGTAAAAGTAAACTTGGTATTACTTTCCTTATTAGAACTTATCAATAATGAAGATTCATCTTTAAAGTTTATGTCATCTATGCATACAGATGCATTACTAGCAGCTGAAGTATCTGCTGATGAATATCTACTTTGCTTCAAAGGTTATTTTTATAAGTTAAAAGTTTAATTTTTTCAATAATACTTTAATTTTATTTATTTTTATTTAGTTTTAGTATTACAAAAAGATGTTTATTTTATAGAGTTAGCATTCTATGTTAATATAAATGGTATAAGATCAAGACCTAATGAGATAGCTTATCCTTCACCTGTAAATTATTTAGGTAATATTTTGCTATTGGTAAAAAAAGTGAGTGTATTTATGTTGCATTTGTTTTTCTAGCATTCAACATTATTGCCATCAATGTCATCATCATTGTTAACATCATTAATATCATTAACATTAACATCTATGTTAACATTAACATCAACATTTTCATCATCATTTTCATCATTAACATTGTCATTATTAATATTGTAATCATTAGCATCATTATTATTATCATCATTAACATCACCATCATTTTCATCATTATCACCATTAACATCTCTATCACCATTAACATCACTATCACCATTAACATCACTATCACCATTAACATCACTATCATCATTAACATCACTATCACCATTAACATCACTATCACCATTAACATTGTCATAATTATTATCATTATTAACATCATCATCATTATCATCATTATAATTATCATTGTTGTTATTTTAACATCTATGTTTTTTTGCTTGCACAGGTTAGATATTTTTCTTCTTTATATTCTAGTAACTTATGTGCCATACAAATCAAATCAAATCAAATCAAATATATTCTGAATAAAGTTGTTACATCAAGGATATTTACAAATAGTAATTTGTACTAATATAAAGTAAACACCTGTCAAAATAAATAAAAATAAGATGGAGATAGTAATAATAATAATTATAATACAAGTAGGAATAATAAAAGTAATAGTAGTGATTATAGTGATAAAATAAATAATAGTAGCTATTATAAAAAGAATATACTATAATAATAATAATAATAATAATAATAATAATAATAATGATAATAATAATAATAATAATAATAATAATAGTAGTAATAATAACAATAATAACAATAATAATAATAATAATAGCAATAATAATAGCAATAATAACAACAACAATAATAACAACAACAATAATAACAATTACAATAATATTCATTATGATATAAATTATGATATAAAATATAGTAATAATAACAACAACAGTGATAAGGAATACTATAGAAACATATCAGTTTATAATAATAAATTTAATAATTGGTATTAAAATTAGTAATATATCACGATAGAAATGAGAAAAATTAAAAGATGAATAGAAGCACTGCGTTATAAATAATAAGTTGTAAAAAGGTATAAGATTTATAAAGAGTATTTTTCTAAAAAATGGTTAAAGAGAGCAGTTTTAAATTTTGAGAATGATTTAAAAGATTTTAATTGGGAAGGGAGATTGTTCCAGGTTTGTATGCTTTTATGTTGTATGGATTCGTAGCCATAATGAACAGTTCGGTATTTAGGTACAGATAATTTAAAGTTGAGAGCAGATCGTAGAATATATTTACAGTTTTCCCTATAACTAAAAAAGTTGATAAATGTAAGAGGTAAGTTATTATGATTTTGGTTCCAAACAAATAGACAATTTGATAGCTGAATAAGGTCACACAATTTAAGGACTTTCGATAAAAAATCGAGTATGCTACAGTTCGAATTAGTATGTTGAAAGTAAATTAATTTTAGAGCTTTGTTTTGGAGATAAGTTAGTCTTAAAAAAGCAAGCTGCTCAGATTGTCCCCAAAAAGAAAAAGTAATGGACCTAAAACCGAGCCTTGCGGAACACCATTAAAAGATTTAGCTAGTCCTGAGTTGATACCATTAATTGAAACAAATTGTGTTCTATTACAAAGATAAGAGGAAAACCAGAGAAAAGGAATACCTCTTATACCGTAGTGTTTCAATTTTTCTAAAAGGATTGTGTGCTCAACTGTATCAAATGCTTTTTTTATGTCAATAAACACTCCACACGCAAAGTGTTTATTATCGATTGCTTGTCTAATTTTCTCTGTTATTTCTATTAATGAATGAGTTGTTGAGTGTTTGTTGCGAAAACCATACTGGTGTTTGTAAATAAATTTATGTTTTTCCAAAAAATGTTTGAGTCTTTGGAACATTGCTTTTTCAAATAGTTTACTTAAGTTAGAAAGAAGTGAAATAGGTCGATAATTGGAGTAGTCTAGATAAGAACCCATTTTGTGTATAGGAATTACTTTGGCTACCTTAAAAGCTTCTGGAAAAATACCATTTTTGAAAGAATTATTCATCATAGTAGATAGAGGTTTGGAGATTATGTGAGATACCAGCTTTAATAAAAATGTTGGCAGACTATTGGGACCAAGGCTTTTATTATTTTTAAGAGTATCTTTTATGAGATTCGCCACCTCATTTTCAGTCACGGGCTCAATGAAAAAAGAATTAATACTAGGTATTTTAAGAAAGTTGCCAAAAGTTTATTTAGAGGGAACAGTATTTTTAAGTAGTTCGTCTTGAATAGTCGTAAAATAATTGTTAAATATATTAGCAACACTGGTATGATCTGAGATGACTTTTCATTGATTTTGAGGTTAAAAGACTTAGTAGAAGTAGATGGTTTGATGTTTATGATTTCCTTAATTCCTTTCCAGGTATTTTTTACATTATTGATGTTGTTATTGAAAAAAGATGCGTAGTACAATTTTTTAGAATACCTTAACAAATTACTAATTTTATTTCTGTATAACTTAAATTTAGTAAATAATATATTTTTTGTATTCACATTTTTTGATCTAGTAAATTTTTTATAGAGTATGTTTTTATTAGAAATTGATTTAAGAATACCAGAAGTTATCCAGGGTTTAGATTGAAGTTTAATTTGTTTTTTTGTTAGTTCTTTGTAGGGAGCATATCGGTCTAATATTTTTTCGAATGTTTTAAGAAAAAAATTTATAGATTCGTTTATGTTATCATCTTCTTTTATGAGAAGCTCCCAGTTAATATCGGAAATTTCTTGGATAAAAGAATCAGAATCAAATTTTTTAAAGCTTCTTTTAAACATTTTTACTTTTTTAATGGGTGGGTTATTAGGAATACAGACGAATTGTGCCATGTGGTCAACATTACCATGTTGAAAGTCCCTAACCATTCTTTACCAACTAAAATACATCAAAACAGTTTTTTTAAATACTATTTTAGATTTTACTTTACTGTGAAAACTTTATATAATAGAAAATAAAATTCAAACAAAAATTGTTTAATATAAATTTTAAAATATATCATACACAGTTTTTAAATAATAATAAAAATTCACACACAATTGTTAAACAAAAACTTTAAGATCTAAATAATAAACAGTTAAGCAAAATATAAACAGAATGTATCATTTTTTGTAAAACTAAATTTTCTACCATTTTCAAGTTAGTAAAACATTAATAAGTTTCCATAGGAACTATTTTGAGTTATAAATCATTTTCTTTCAATCCTTAATGTATTATGCTACATCTGACATAAAATCTATCTATAAAAATCATACTTCTATTTGGCACCTATGTCATCAAACCAGAAACACCTGAAACACTTTTTTAATCTGAATAAATAATGATGTCGATGTTTTTGATTTTGATTTTTCTAGCATTCTCCAAACCATTTTTATTAACATATACAAACCGTGGTGTTGATGTTTTTGATTTTTATTTTTCTAGCATTCTCCAAACCATTTTTATTAACATATACAGACCGTGGTGTTGATATTTTTGAAGTAACAACATCGTCTTGGATACAAACACTGCAAATATTGAAGGTGATTTATGTTATAAATATTGTATTTCACATTAATTAGCTACTTACTAGAGTGGTCCAAGTTTGATTTTTTCAAAAATAATTATAACTTTTGCCTGTTATGTTAAAATGATTCCAAATGCTAGCTTATTGAAAACATAACAATAAAAAAAATTTAATAATACTCAATGGTTACCAATCAATTATATTAGCTATAATCTATATTAAAAGTATGAGCCTCAGTAACTAAAAGTGTTACAAACAAACATATATTATTAAACAAACATATTTTTAAACACATATTAATAAACAAACATATTTTTAAACATTATTATAAAAGTGTTACAAACAAACATATATTAATAAACAAACATAATTTTAAACATTAAAACAAACTTATTTTTAAACATTATAAAAGTGTTACAAACATATATTAATAAACAAACATTGTTTTAAACATTAAAACAAACATTGTTTTAAACATTAAAACAAACATACTTTTAAACATTAAAACAAACATATTTTTAGTGGCCGGGGCTTCGGCCCCGGCTAAAAATAAGAGACTTTTTGCAAACCTGGCCCTGGCAAAATTATAAGATTTAGCAGAGATTGATAGCCAGGGCTAAAAAAAAAAATTTAATACTTTTTGTAGTATAATTTTACACTTACATTTACTACTTATTATATACTGGTATATATTTATATATTTTTAAACTATAATTTACTTCCAACAAGATTACAAACAACTACTATTAAGTTATGAGTTACTTTAAAATAGAGAATAAGTAAAAATACTAAAAAATGGTTAACTGAAGTTGTCAGATGTATTAAAAAAGAAAACATGAAGATGGGGAAGAGTTGTAAGGCTTTTTTGATGTGCAAGGAAAATAAATGAATTTTGTTGCCTAAAAAAGTTGTGGATTTTAAGTCCACAGTTTAAATCCACAAGCCATTGCAAGCCTTTGGCTGTTACAGAAGAGAGATCAAATTTAAAACCGACAGCTTGTTCTAAGCAATCAAAAAGTGAAGATTTTTTTTTTCAAGACAAGAGTATAAAGTTGAGTTGTCAGCAAATGGTGGCACTATAGATGCAAAAATTTTCATGAAGATTGTTATTGTATATAAGAAACACTACAGGAGCAAAAATAGAACTTTGTGATACCCTTAAAGTTACTTGAAAGAGGAGTGTAGCCTTCAAGAATAACTTTAATATTGGAAACATTGGAACCACTTATTTAACACTTTTTAAAGGTTTAGCAAAAATTGAAGAAAGTTCTGGAGAACACTTTTTCAAGACTATGATGGAAATCTATTCTGGAGCACAAACTGTAGAAGTGTTTAATTGAGAATTAACTTTAGCATTAAAAGCCAGAGTGATTTTGATGTTTAACAAACATCAAAATCACTCTGGTTAATCTGTTTAACTATCAGGAAGAGTATGACCATTATATTCAAGAGTCAAATTAGAGGAAGATTTTTTTGCAAATAACTCTGCTTTATTCTGGGGATAAGTAAAAAGATCAGACCCATGAATAAGAGATTAAATGTTAGACTTACTTTAGTTAATGACATTGTTGAAGACTAATCAAAAGTCTCTTGAACCTAACATCTGAGATAAGATACAAGATTTAATAAAATGAGAATAACAGAACTTAACATCAGACAGGACTTTTTTACCATGGCTTCTTGCAATAATAAAAGGACATTTGTTCTTAAAAGAGATGTTCTTGTAAAAAAGATGAAAAAAATGAATTATGTTTAATAAAGCAACTGCTCAAGATAGTGAAAAATGTGGAGTAGAATGAGGCTTGACTTAAAATTGAAGAGAAGTAATAAAAGCATCCAAACAATGGATATAAGCATATATGTTTGTTATTTATTTAGGTGCTGGCATACAATATCCTTTCATTGTTATATAAACTTTAGTATTTATATGGTGTAGTATTTGCTAAAAGAGAAGATGATCAGATGGATGTGTGTAATGTGACTCTAACATGACAAGAAAAGAAGGCATAGTCTTAGACAGATTAGAAAAAAATGTCTTATTTACGTTTGTTAAAGAAGATTAAAGTGATTTAGGTATCAGCATGTAGAGAGGTAGCAGCTTCAGAAGAAAAAGGTTAGTGGTGGTAGTAAGAAAACTTTGAAGAGAGTGCCTTATATATTGTATGAGGTTTAGTTAAGGAAAGAAAATGCTCTAGATTGTTTGTATTAGAGAAACAGCATAAAAGAGGAAGGCTAAAGCCTGACAATAATGATGATGATGATGATGATGATGATGATGATGATGATGATGATGATGATGATGATGATGATGATGATGATGATGATGATGATGATGATGATGATGATGATGATGATGATGATGATGATGATGATGATGATGATGATGATGATGATGATGATGATAAGCATGATTATGATGGTAATGATGATCATGTTGATTGTGATGATGTTTATATATGGATATATATACAAAATATAACATGAATTTTGAATTGAAAAAATATACTTTAGGATGTATAATTGTTTATGCAGCCCCGGTCACAAACCCGGCCCTCGCTATTTTTATCAAACCCAGCCCTGGCCCCGGTCAAAAATCAACCCCGGTCACTTACTATATATATAGTAAGTAACCGGGGTTGATTTTGTTTATATACACAAATAATTTTGGGCAACATAATGTTTTAGACATTTTTATTTAACATAACAGTAAACATAACACAAATATTTTCACTTCTAGTTATGTAACTGTTATGTTAGTGTTATAGTTTTTTCTTTTTATATATTAAAATATTGTGTATGATGTTATAAATATTAAAGAATTGCACCGTCTCCTTCTATTTTTTTAAATACAAAACAAATATAAATATATATGTAAACTAATAAATAACAAATAAAACTTCAAATCAATGTTAATAAAAATAAAAAAAAAGCATAAATAATGGTGCATAAAAAAAGTAAATATATATAATAATAGTGATAAAAACTTTAACATTTTTTTAAAATAAAGTTTAACTTAATTATCTTTACTAGGTAATGCCATTATCAATGAATGGTATGCTGAGCCTTTCAGCTACTCCAGAGCATCATGTCATGGTGTACTTAAAAAGAGAAAATATTGATGAGGGTCAAAGTTTATTCTTTTAAAATTTTGTAACTGCTGCTTTTTTTTTTTTTTAAGCATTTTAAAAAAATTTATTTTTTGTGTTTTGGGTTTTTTAGAGTTGGCAATTAAAACAAGTCTAGTAAAACGTCAAGTAGCCGCTATATATCGAATTAAATCTACCACAAGAAAACGTTTGTCTGTTAAAACCAGAGACAGCTTAAAGGCAGAAGAAGCAGATCTTGTATCAAAACTCATATCAGGGCCATCGAATTTCAGCCATGTGCAGCATATGGGTCCTGGAGATGGCCTGCAAATTCTTAAAGAAATTCCAGTGGTACAATTATTTGTTGTGTGTGTGTCTATATATATATATATATATATATATATATATATATATATATATATATATATATATATATATATATATATATATATATATATATATATATATATATATATATATATATATATTGATCCTCAGTTGGGTTGGTTGCAATAATAATAGTTTACCGATAAATACATCATGTTACCCTTTATTGAGCTAAACCATAATAAATAGGGGAAAAAAGAGTTTTACATAATGAAGCCAGATTAAAAATTTCATTAACCTCGTGTTTACTGCTTGTATATACCTTCCTTAATTAGATGTTAAATATATATATTGTAAAAAGAATTAGCGTCGTTTTTATTCTTGTTTTTAAAACATTAAATGTATGTATCTGTATGTACCTCTCAGGAAAAATTTAATTAATTGAGAGCAATTATTTATTTCACAAACTACATGTTATACAACCCTAGTTTTGAGGTTAAAGCTTTTGCTGATATATAAACGTTTGCAGGACGTTTTTAAGTCTTACAAAAGTCTTCGACGTATCTTAAGTCAAACAGTTGTCTTGCAGATATTTATTTTAAGTTTTATAACTTGTTTAGGGTGATGAAAAATTACGAGTGCCGACAATATTCCGACCATCTCGTCCTTTAAGTTCATACCAGTCTTCGCCTCCATCTGAGGACCAACTGAGGTGAATTTTTTTTATTTGGTTTTCTTTTAAAAATCGTCTTACTTTTGTGCTACAATATATGAAATATGTTGAGTAGTTTTGTTGTCTTGAATAGTTTTACCTTAAATTGTTATCTTAAATAGTTTTGTTATCTTTCTTAAAATATAATTTGTGTTAAGAAAATTAAAAATTCTTTTTATTTTAGAGCAAATATGAATAGATCTCGATCGATGGATGGAAACGATTTTTTAAATGTAATAAAAGTTTCACTATAGACTTTAGGTATTGAGTTTTTAAAATCAGTCTCTTAACAAAGTCTTTTTTATTATTTTTTAGGTTGATCCTGATAGTATTTCATCTAACTCTTCAACTAGCAACACATCCGGGCATGAAGAAGTAAAATAAATTCACCCTTTAGTTAATTAAATCACCAATAGTATGTCCGCACGGTCCTTAATGTCTTTGCTCATTTAAATCATAACCTTCTACACGAAATGTTTCACCGAATGATATTTAAAGATTTCTTGCCCCGTTTTCAAGTAATGAAGGCATTAGGCGTTTTGTAACCACTATAATCTAGAGAAAATTACGTGGGCAGTTAGACTGCCAGAAAAAGTGCGCAGCGTTTTTATCTCACTAACTTTTAAAAGTGAAGTTTTCCAATAATCCATACTAGTAGAACTTTTTACCATTTTTCAAAAGTTTCATGGAATCTAATTAATAATTTTACCATTTTTTTAATAACTATTGTTTCTATAACAACATATCCACAATTATGTTGCAATGATTTTTGATTTTAAAAGTGTAATTTATTTAATTGACATAATTCTAATATAATTAAAGTTTTACGATTTAAATTATGTTAGAAAATGTTATTTATGTTCCGAATTTCATATATTTTTCTATTGAACAAGGTTATTATTATTGCATAACTGTAGCTTTTTTTAAACTGTACCTTTATAAAGCACTTGGTATAAAATGTTTTATTTCTTGAATCGAGTAAATAGAACTTATTGAGACATAAGTCATACTGGCCATATGCTTTTGTTACTGGTATTACGCTGAAAAAATATAAAACTAGTAGATAATTATCGTTTGTTTGACTTTTTCTGTCGTATAAGTATTTACTGCTTTTACCATAAGGGATCGTCCATAACTTACCTAACGCAAACTTTCACAATAAACAAAACAAAAAAGATCAAAAGCTTTGCCTTGAGGAGTTTTAATTTAAATAAAAAATCAAAATAGGCCATCAACTTTAATAAAAATTGCCGCGTAAAAGAGCTTAAGATCCAATTAATTTTTTTTAAATATTTTTTGCATTGCGTAATTTATGGACGATCCCTAATACGTAGAGATATTTATTTTTAGAGAATTTATGTGCTTTATGTGTTATTTTTTATCATAATGCGTGGAGATAAAACTTATTACGCATTTAGTGCGTATGAAATACTACCAAGTTAATTTCGTGCGCTCTAAATGTTGAATACCAACTTATTAGGGCAGGTCGAATTACAACTTTTTTTGGATTTAAGTGTTTGCCATTATGGAGATATTTTCTAAACAGTCCAAAAACACATCCTGGAAAATTTTACGAAATTAAAATAGTTTCTTCATGAGCGATTTTAGCTTTGAAGTGGGGTCCTAAGGCTTTCTGCGTAACATTACTGCGGCGTTGTATTGTAAATTCAGGACCCAACTAGTTTACATATAAAAAAATAAATAAAAAGCAAAAAGACTGAAAGTTACCTAGAATTAAAGAAAAACAAAATAAAGTACTCTAAATCAAAAAAAAAAATTTTTTGTCTATGTTAGATATTGATACTTTAACAAATTGCTTTTGTAAATTCCGGTCCAGATTTTATAAAAAAAACGCTAATTTCAAATGTAGGAAATTTGTTATATCAGGGATTAGCAACAAGTGGATCGCGAGTCTCGTGCTACTCAGTTATTTATATTCCGTGGCTCTCCAGTCTGTCCAAATTACATAATATTTTGATTTAAAACTATATTTCAAACATACTTAAACTGTAATTCTGCGGCTCATTTTTTAAACTTATTTAAGGAAGATATATTTTAATTATTTTAGGAAAAACCTCACAACATAAAATAAGTTGCCCACGCCTGGGTTATATAATCGAATATTTGAAAAATAGAAGACTATCCTAGTTATTTCAGATAAGTTAAATTTACCCAATAAGTTAAATTTTAATAATGATTATTGAAAATATTTGAAATAACTGTCAAAAGATGAAATTATATAAAAGATTTCATTAAAAAAAAAAACTTTTAAAAAAGATCTTTTTATTTATTTAGAAATTATTTTAACAATGTTCAGCCACGCGAGGAAATGACTAACTCGAAAATTATTATACATTTTTGTTAAATTTTATTTTTACATATACAAGTAGCAATAAATTAGCTTTTAAATTATCAAAAAATATCATCATATGTCTCACCATAATAACATTTAGACATAAAACTCTTTCTATGCTTTCTGCTTAAAATTTTTGCTAAAATATGCTTATGACGTGCTTCCTTTCCAAAAACAGTATGAGAAACCATGGAAACAAGTTGTACGGATCTCTCAACACTCTGTGAATGAGAAGAAAGATCTGGGAGGTCAATTTTTTCTCTAGACAACAACTTTTCTGAAATCTCTTCATTAGTAAAATCTTGAGCTGTTGCTGGTTCATCTATGTCTTCATCAAAAATATTTATGTCTTTATCAAAAATATTTATGTCTTCATCAAAAATATTTATGTCTTCATCAAAAATATTTATGTCTTCATCAAAAATATTTATGTCTTCATCAAAAATATTTATGTCTTCATCAAAAATATTTATGTCTTCATCAAAAATATTTATGAGCTCATACCATATAAGAGTATCAATGTTAACTTCTGGAATTTTATTGATTCTGCTTATAGCTTGGTCATCTTTTTTACGATTTCTAATATCAAGTAATGTCTGCGTTGCTATTGATTTTATATATATTTCTTCTGACTTTAAAATTGAGTACAAAATATTCTCAGGAAATAAGCAAAAAGAATTGAAACTTAAGTTTGCTAAACAAATATCTTGCACCTCTTTTCCTTGGAGTTTGATTTGGTTAATAGTGATCGACCGAAATTCGGTTCGGTTCCGGTTCCGGTTATAAATTTGGCCGGAATCGAAATTCCTGTTTCGGTTCCGGCTAGATTTGAGATTTCGGTTTCGGCCGGAATTTCGGTTCTAAATGCTACCGAAAATAGATATTATAAAACTTTATTTTAAATAAATTATTTAGCATTGTAGCGTAAATATATTTTGATTAAAAAAATTTAAATAATTTTTTTGCTAGTTATTTCAACTTCTTATATTATTTTTTGCATCCGATCGCGTTGTTACTTTTATCTGGTTTTTAATTATCATGTTTAAAATATCATGATCTACAAATTTAATGACGCTACAATGTTATCTACATTGTAAAGTCATATGTTTATGGACTTGATTATTTATTTATTTTAATTATCGCATGGAATTGGTAACGGTAAAATCTTTACGAACTTGGTGATTTTTTTTTAAATTATCACGTGGAATTTGTTTGAAATAAATTAAAAAAGTTTTTATTGGTTTCATTCATTTTTTTAAAGCAAGTTGTTTTAATGTTTTCTCGTCGTTAAAACATTAAAACAATAATGTTTTCTTGTCGTTATAACTTTTTTAATGTTTTCTCGTTTAAATTGTTAATTGTCTTTTTAACGAACTTTTTAATGTATTGAACTTTTTAATGTAACGTAAGAAATTTTTCTTAAATATATATATATATATATATATATATATATATATATATATATATATATATATATATATATATATATATATATATATATATATATATATATATATATATATATATATATATATATATATATATATATATATATATATATATATATCTATATCTATATCTATATATATATATATATATATATCTATATCTATATCTATATATATATATATATATATATATATATATATATATATATATATATATATATATATATATATATATATATATATATATATATATATATATATATATATATATATATATATATATATATTGTTAAGTTAACAACAATATTAATACAAATTATCTTGACTCAAACTAGCAACATTAAAAATCTTGACTCAAACTAGCAACATTAAAAAACTCATCTGATTAAGTTCTTCGATTTCATTCTAATAAAATGAGCTCAAACCGAAAAACAAGTTTAGTGTGGAAGTACTTCATAATTGAAGCAAACAATCCAAGAATGGTTCAGTGCAAAATCTGCAACAGCAAAGTTTCAAGAGGATCTGACGACCCAAAAAAACAAGGATTAAGTGGACTCACGTCACACCTGAAGAATCATCATCCTGACATCAAACTTACGCCCGAAAAAGCAGAAAATCCAAAGGCAAATGAAGAAGCTGACTTAAATTCCAACAAGAGAAAGGCAGTTACAATCTTCAACATGCGATCAAAAAAACAAAGATCCGACATGTTACAATCTACAATTCCAAACTGGGTTCAAGCTTCTTCAAAAGTTGACTCTAATTCTGAAAAAGGCCAAAAATTTCACAAGTCAATTTTTGAAATGATGATTCTTGACCTCCAACCATGGTCTATTGTCAATAATGCTGGATTTTTGAGGCACCATGCTCTTATTGTTCCAAATTACAAAATTGCTAGCGAAAAATACTACAGAAGTTTACTGGATCCGACTTACGAAAAAATTAAAGTTGCTCTCAAGGAAAAGCTGGTTCAATCAGAAGCTGAAAATGTGTCTGTCTGCCTTGATGCATGGTCATCATTTCATCATGGCTATCTGGGAATGACTGTTCACTTTATTTCCAAAGACTGGAACCGTGTCAAATTCTGCATCTCTTGTTCTCCATTTGATGAAAGTCATACTGCAAAAAATATTTTCAAAGAGATCAAAGCAGCAGCAGAGGAATGGGAAATTTCTTCAAAAATTGGAGTTTGCTTAAGAGACAACGCAGCAAATGTAAAAGCAGCCTTCAATGAGCCAAGCTGTAATTATAAGTCAGCTGGATGCCTTAACCACTCCCTTCAACTTGTGATAAAAAAAGACCTATTATCAGATCCTACCATCAACGAACTGATTGAAAAGAGTCGAAAACTTTGTTCTTACGCATCCCATTCTATTGGTTTCTACACTGAACTTTACAGACAGCAAGAAATCCAAATGGATAGAAAAGACAGACTTGGCTTAAAAAACGATGTTGCCACAAGATGGAACTCTACCTATTACATGCTTGAGCGAATTTTACACCTGAAACCAGCCATTGCTGCAACCTTACTCAAATTTCCTTCTGTGGGAATTGAATTTTCCGTCCAAGATTGTAGCCTCTATGAAAAAGTGGTGAGGATTTTAAGTGTTTTTGAGGAGGCAACAAAAATGTTGTCAGGTAGTGATTCTTGTATCAGTTCCTGCATTCCAATTGTGACAACAATAATTAAAGCTTTGGAAACAACCTCCGGCGACGTCAGTGTTCAGAAATTGAAAATAGCTATGAAAAATGCAATGGAAAAACGTTTTTCAGCAATTGAAAAAACAGAACATTATTCAGTTGCTACTTTACTTAATCCAAAATACAAATGGTATTTTTTCCGATCTCAAGCTGCTTTGCAAAATGCCAAACACATTGTCATGTCCCAAATGGAGAATTTTGAACATCTTGAAGATGAATTGGCTCCTGTTACTCAAATTCCATCTGGTGACAATGAAAAAAACACGGCATTCTCGCACATAATGTCAAAAATTATTGCACAGTCTCAAACAGAACCAAATGAGCATTCATCTTCCAAAATGACGAGGGAAGTGTTGAAGGATTTTTTGGATTGTCCAATGGCTTCTCATTGCCTAGAATTTTGGAAAAACTATGAAAAAAATGCGACTAGCAAAATCAAGTTAGCATTGACTAAGGTGGCAAAAAAGTACCTCACACCACCCCCAACATCCACAGATGTTGAAAGATTGTTTTCTACGGCTGGAGATATTCTATCTAACGAAAGAAACAGATTCCTTCCAGAAAATTTGGAAAAACTCCTTTTTTGTCGAGAAAATCTTGCAGTTGTTGGATTCTGCTATTAATCATTTTTTATTAATTTAACTTTGTGTTTTAATTGGAATAAACTTGCAAACAAAAACTATTATTTATTTTCGGTTCCGGTTTCGGTTTCGGCTCTGGTTAGGGTTTACTTTCGGTTCCGGTTCCGGTTAGGAATATTTAAAATCTATTTTCGGTTCGGTTCCGGTTCCGGCAAAATTTCAGTGCCGGTTGATCACTATTGGTTAATCATAAAATGTATAATTGATGGAGCTTCGTGTAACTTATTGCTCTTTTTATGGAGGAACTATGTAGGAACATAAACTTGGACAACATAAGTTACCAAAATAATTAGTTCAGAATCAGGAACTACTACTCGGACATATAAAGACATCAACCGGATTGCCAATGTTAACCAACGAGAATGATAAAGGGGACTAATTTTCCAACTTGAATATTTAACACTCATATTTCCAGTGGCAATTCCAATGCAATATTCATATAAAAACCTTTTGTCACTACTTAAATTGTCTAAAATTTCTTTTTCCAAAATAATAATTGGAGACTTAATAACACCAAAATTAACAACTAAATTAAGCTCATTATTGATATTTGCCATTTTACCTATTGGTCCAGCAAAATGGTTTGGTGAATTTGTTGCTCCATCAATTTTTTTAAACAAAGATCTAAAAGGAAGCTCATTCTGATGAAGATTGCAGCCTATAGTCTGAAGTTTTCTTCCAAGTTTTTTCTCTAACTCCACAACCATTCTTGCTTTATGACCTGTGTTTGTTGAAGTATTGTCTACCAAAACTGCTTTTAGAGTGTTTAAAGAATCATACTCTTCAAGAACTTCATATAGACACTGAGCTTGCTTTTTTCCTGTTGCCTCCAAGAAGAGGTAAAACTTTGTGAGTAAGATACTCCCCACTGTAAAGGTTAGGGAGAAGTATTTTAGTCACAGTCATGTGATGTTCTTTCTCTGTTGATCTCTTTAACACAACCTCACTATCTTCTTTTTTTATTTCTCTTATAACTAAAGTTTCATTATCAATTTTACCGTCAACACCAAGGCAAATGAACTCTCTGTTATTTTCAACAGATTTTAAGTCTGACAATACTTTAACTGACTTTTTTTGTCTGCCTATTTTGGATTTGTCTAAAACTAAAGTTGATATTATTGCTGGATCATTAAACAGTCCTGATAGATCGAGCATAAGAGTATTTCCTAATGCAGCTCCAATCGAACTTCCTATATCGTTCCTGATCAATTCAATAGCAAACTTTGGAAACTTCCAAAGATTGTAAATTCTCGATGGATTTCTTTCAGGCTCCCATATCTAAAAAAAAGTTATGAAGTTCATTAACATAAAAATTTAATATAAAAAAGTGATATGTTAAGAAAAAAAAGTAAATTTAAAAAAATATAAAATAGTGAACCAAATTTCAATTTATTATTTAGTTACCTCACTAGAGCTAAAAATGACAGATTTTGAATCAGATTCTGGTAATACTATTTCTGGAGGTACAGTCGTGTGCAGTAAAATAGTAGTGCGTATTTTATTTTTCTATCAACAAACTTTGAACATCAAAGTATATTTTTCTACTGTTTGTTTTTTATCGTTATTGTTCATAAACTAATTGTTGTGATTATAATAGTATAAAAAAAATTTAAGAAAGATAATTGCAGCACTGTCTGGTTTTAAATTTTTAATATTATCGATAGAAGGTCATTCGTATTTTTTTTTTAGACTGTGCAATAAAATAGTAGTGAAAAATTAATTTTTGTGTAAAAATTGCTGTACTTATTAAATTCTAATTATTATTAGTTCTTAATAATAAGCAATAAGTAACTAATTAATTTTGATATTAGATAAATTTATACACTTACTAAAATTTTGAAAATTTAGAGAAACATGGTTCACTCTAAGCATTGTTCTGAAGAAGTTCGTAATTGAATTATAAATCTTAAAAATCATGGTAAAGCCTACAAAAAAATATAAAAATTGGTTGGATGCTTACCAAAAATGATTTGTAATGCTTTAAAATGGATACCCAAACCAGAAAAACGTGGGAATAAAAAATCAACTACCGCTATAGAAGATCGTCAAATTGTATCGTTAGCGAAAAAGAAGTCATTTATTACTTCTAGAAAAATTAAAGAAAGGCTAGAATTAAATGTTAATACCTCAACTATTCGAAGACGATTAACACATGCCAATTTAAATGCAAGAACACTTAGAAAAGTGCCACGTTTGAGTAAAAGACATATCGAAAATCGTTTAAAATTTGCACGTATGCATGCTTCTTGGCCTAAAGAAAAAATGGCGAAATGTTTTGTGGACTGAGGAAAGCAAAATTGAAACTTTTGGTTCCTATGTTCGTAAACAGTATGTTAGAAGACCAACGGGTGCAGCATATAAGCCACAACTTACATTAAAGACCGTCAAACATGGAGGTTCAAAAGTAATGATAATGGGTTGTATTTCTTACTATGGTCTTGGGCCGATACATCGCATAGAAGGTATCATAGATCGGTTTGTATATGTAAAAATACTTGAAGAGATTGTGCTGCCTTATGCTGAAGAAGAAATGCCGTTAAAATTTTTGTTCCAGAAGGATAATGATCCCAAACATACGAGCAAGTTAGCCATATTGTGGTTTAATGAGAACAAAGTCGATGTGATGGAGTGGCCAGCACAATCCCCAACTTCAATCCGATTGAAAACTTTTGATTTGATGTTAAACAAGCAGTTTCTGAAAATAATCCAAGAGGTTGTAATCAATTGTGGGACGTAGTACAGTCAGCATGGCAAAATATATCTGTCGAACGATGTCAGAATCTTATTAATTCCATGCAACGAAGATGCTTGGCGGTTATTACAAATAAACGTCATGCTACAAAATACTAATGTAGAGGTTCAAAAAAAATATTTTTTTTGTAATAAAATTTAATTGTTTTTTGACTTTTTCATAAAAAATGAATTTCACTACTATTTTATTGCACAGTCTAAAAAAAAAATACGAATGACCTTCAATCGATAATATTGAAATTTAAAACCATACAGTGTTGCAATTATCTTACTTAAATTTTTTTTATACTATTATAATCACAACATTTAGTTTATGAACAATAACAATAAAAAACAAACAATAGAAAAATATATTTTGATGTTCAAAGTTTGTTGATAGAAAAATAAAATACGCACTACTATTTTACTGCACACGACTGTAAATTAAATTTTTCTTCTTGTAATGATTCTTCCACATTTTTATATTCAGTTTTATGTTTCTTTAAAGATTCTTTTCTAGACCATTCACGATCTACTGAGCCAAGTTGAAATGATCCTTTTGGACCTGACTTTTCTCTCTGGTCTTTTAAATATAACCTTTCTTTTACAGGAATCTAAATATTATTTGATAATATTGAACAACTGCATATGAAATTTATAGTATTAAACTTTATCATACTAGTAATATACAGGGCCAGCGCGAGTAGGGGTCACGTGGGGGTCACAACTTTAAGATCACATGTGCAGGAAATGATATCAAAAAGCCTATCCAATTTTCTAGAAGCGTTTTTTTCTGTTAATACTTTGCATTTACTTCGGTTAATTAACCTAGATATGTTTAGAAGTACTCCGACTTTTTTTTCAATAAGTGGACATTAATGGTAGTCGAGTGTTTTTTCCATATCATGATTATTTTTTCAGCTATAAGTTTTACAATTACGCTAAAGCAATAACTTGGATAAGTATTGTTAAGAAAATAAAAATCTTGAATAATCTGTCTGTTTGTGGGTGGTTCTGTATTTCCAAGAGGGTTAGGACTTCCACCAATATTGCTTTTTGTGCAATTTCGTGTTTTACGCTTGTTTGAAAACATTATTTTTCGTCCTCTAAAATTTTCTTTTTCCCACACAATTATAAGATTTGTTTACTTTGCGTAAGCGCGGCAATCTTTAATTTATATGAAAATGTTAGTGGTAAAGATGGCGTAGCAAAAAAGTTTTTAATTAAATATATCAATATTTAAAATCATTTTAGCTCAACTTGTACTTCATTAAAACAAAAAATTTTTTAGCTCAAGTTCAAAAAAAAAGTAGCTCAAATTTTAACTCGAGCTCAATTAATACTTCATTAAAACAAAAAAAACTTTACAAAGCACATTTTTTTCACATAATAATCAAATCTCTTTATTACCAAACCTCTGATTCCAAAATCGACCTGCCCTACCAACATATAGTTCTATCATTTGCGCGGCGGGGACTGAACTCTAATTTTGGTGAATATTCGATAAAAAAATATTTTTCAAATATACAAAAAACTTATTATCTCTGTTATTAAATTGAGCACGGTGGGAAGAAGTAACTGCGCAGCCGTAGGTTGTTCGAATATCCATTATAAACTTTTTAAGAGGAAAAAAGAATGAAATGTTCATGAAGATTTGGAAAAAAGAACAATATGGCTGTAATCGTCCTTTCCTTTAAAGAGAGTTAAGAAATGAAAAAGCAAAAATGATAAACAAAAACTTAAAACCAAATCAAACAAATTAACAAAAGAGAAAAGAAAAAGAAAAAGAAAAAAAGAAAGTTAAAAGAAAAAAACATTCAAAAATGGAAAGTAATTAAATTTTAATTACTTTCCATTTTCGAATATTTTTTTCTTTTAACTTTGGTTTTTTCTTTTTTCTTTCCTCTTTTGTTAATTTGGTTTTTAAGTTTTTGTTTATTATTTTTGCTTTTTCATTTCTTCACCCTCTTTAAAGGAAAGGATGATTACAACCATTTTGTTCCTTTTAATTTAAAAAGAATTAAAATATAAAAGTAGCTCCGTTTTTGAAGAAACGAAAAAGAAAATTTGTTAATTTTTATTAATTTTGAGGGACGTTATGTGTTTGATGGGTATTATGATATGATTTCCTTTTTTATTTGAATATTATCATTTATTATGAAAACTCGATATTTTTCGTGACTAAATGTTTGTGTGTGTGCGTACGTGTGTGACACGTTTTTATTTGTGAGCGTTATTGAAAATTTTGTTTG